ATATCAAAAAGATCTTACAATTCAAACTTCACACAAACTACTCCCCCCCCCCCTCTATTGAATACAATATATAAAAGGTATTTTATATATGATATAAGTCTGTTTGTACTAATATAAAACAATAAAAGCTATATTTATGATTTCTGGGTAATAAACTTGTTTTAGATCGTTTGTTTGTATATCAGTCATAGTTGAAAGGTATTGTTACAAAACTCAGTATCGGAAACCGGGTTTCACAAGTGGGGAACTCAGTATCGGAAACCGGGTTTCACTAATGGGGAACTCAGTATCGGAAACTGGGTTTCACTAATGAGGAACTCAGTATCGAAAACCGGGTTTCACTAATGGGGAACTCAGTATCGGAAACCGGGTTTCACTAATGGGGAACTCAGTATCGGAAACCAGGCATCACTAGTGGAAAACTCAGTATCGGAAACCGGGTTTCATTGGTGGGGAACTCAGTATCGGAAACCGGGTTTCACTAATGGGGAACTCAGTATCGGAAACCAGGTTTCACTAATGGGGAATTCAGTATCGGAAACCGGGTTTCACATATGGGGAACTCAGTATCGAAAACTGGGTTTTCTAGTAGTGAGGAACTCAGTATCGGAAAGTGGGTTTCACTAATGGGGAACTCAGTGTCGGAAACTGGGTTTCAGTAATGGGGAAATCAGTATCGGAAACCGGGTTTCACTGTATAGGGAACGGCAATTTCGCAGACTTAAATTTATTTTTTAAGAACTAAAATTTCATATAGTTAGTTTCATTTTCTCTTTATTTTCTATTTCTTGATGTAAATTTACACCGTTATGTAAGACCCCGAAAAAAAACTCGAGAGTTTCGTTCGACGATACTCTATTAGGTTTCAGGCTATGCACTCTGTATTAACGGGGGGAGTGTGGAGGGGGGGGGGGGTGCAGAAATAACTTGGTTTCAATTTAAAGAATGATCTAAATAAAATAACTTTGAAAATTGATTATTTTAGGTTGTGGTTTCTCCATATCAGTGTCTAGTAAATCATAATTTACACAATTGATACAACAACATTCTCAATCAATTTATTTTTGATAACATTAGTATACATATACTGAAAATATGGTCTAGGATAAATTCTAAATAATCATAATGACAATTTCGTCGATATTAACCATATCCTAAGTGCGCTATTATTGTCTAATATAGATTGCTCAATAACTTTAATGGTAAGTGTGCAAGGGAGGCTTGAAAAATGTATAAAAAGTACGCCAGACAAATGTTGAAAAATACTTATCTTTACTTTTTAAAAATATTAACATATCACTGTGGTTTCAGGGTCCCAGGCTCTCAACCAAATATCTATGAGAATTTTGCCAATTACTTCCTAAATACCAAATCTAATAACAACTGTTTTACGGTGGTAAAATGTACATGTAAAGGGCATGAAAAGCAGAAGCGAGTTAAAGCGGTAAAATCAAAGCCAATGGCGTTGCGTTGCGACACTACAGGCTGAACCTGACTTAAAGATTGATGAGACTGTTTTTAAGCAGGCTGAATCTTTGTCTATGTTAGTACCTCCATTTTTCGAGTGCTTTTTAAATAAATTAATTTTAAATCTGTAATTTTAATTAATATAAAAATGATTTACTGTTTTCGATTTTTTTTTAAAACACCGACCAAACGTTTAACAATGAACGTCCTCCAAAATTTGTTCAAAAATATGAAGTTAAAAAATGGAGCGTTCTAGTGTAAGCCGTTTTTAAGCGATAAAAACACAGTGAGGTGGTTAAGAAAAAACACAGTGGGGTGGTTAAGAAAAAACACAGTGGGGTGGTTAAGAAAAAAACAGTGGGGTGGTTAAGAAAAAAACACAGTGGGGTGGTTAAGAAAAAACACAGTGGGGTGGTTAAGAAAAAACACAGTGAGGTGGTTAAGAAAAAACACAGTGGGGTGGTTAAGAAAAAAACACAGTGGGGTGGTTAAGAAAAAAACACAGTGAGGTGGTTAAGAAAAAACACAGTGAGGTGGTTAAGAAAAAACACAGTGGGGTGGTTAAGAAAAAACACAGTGGGGTGGTTAATAAAAAAACAGTTGGGTGGTTAAGAAAAAAACACAGTGGGGTGGTTAAGAAAAAACACAGTGGGGTGGTTAAAAAAAAAGCACAGTGGGGTAGTTAAGAAAAAACACAGTGAGGTGGTTAAGAAAAAACACAGTGGGGTGGTTAAGAAAAAACACAGTGGGGTGGTTAAGAAAAAAACACAGTGGGGTGGTTAAGAAAAAAAAAAATCTAGGTGATGTTAAGCTCCGTGTTAATTATTTTGAAATGCGTAAGTAATATCTTTGAAATGCGTATGTAATTTTTCAAATAACACAAATTTAAAAATAATCTGTATTCAAAATTATAAATTTTTTTATTTAATTCATACTTGATCAGACAAAGCTTTTCATGGTACCGTTGTGAATCGGGCATTGCCATATTTGAATAGAGGGTTATTGAAAATTACGAAAACAATCTATAATTCTTTAAAGTAAAATTTAAATCTATTACTAAACTTATACTGTTCTTGTAAACTAAATGTTTCTGTTTACTGAATGTATGTTTCCATTTCTGTGTTGAAGCAAATATTTATTAATAATTCATAAACTGTGGAGCCGATATTTCCAAGAGACATATTAATAATAAATTAATCTAACCTCTAATTTCATTAAATCAAATCCAATATCATCGGTTTAGCTTAATACTTAGTATATGAATAGAAGGTTTAACATTTATTTTTAATATTTTTAAGCAGTTTATTTATAACATGAGGTTTTCGAAATGAACGAAAAGTCTGTTTTTTTTGTCAAACGTAATGCATATGGCCCACAAATTTCGATTTTTGATAAATGTGGAAACCTGCCAGAGGCAACAAGCGACAGCAATTAATGCCAGACCTGCATTTTGTTACTGATAATTTTGATGTAAAATAAAAATTAAAATAGGTTCAGAGTTAAGGTTCAGATGGCATGAACTACTATTTTTTAAAGATAAAATAAAACCATTAAAATATTTATATTCTTATTACTTCTACAGATTGTGAGATTATGAAAATATTAATATTATTAATTATAAATAAGAACAAAAATAAGTAATATTACGAATTCTTGAAGTAAATATAGGAAGAAAGTTGTCTAAATAGTTAATACCAGTAAAATAGGATTATAGTATATTAAGTTAGGATTAAATGATGGAATCCTATTAGTTTTCGTTGATCATTAAAATTACTCTATCTATATTTTTAGTTTGCTTGGGTGTTTGTCTGTTTGTTTGCATCCAATAAACGTCAAAACAGCTGAACCGATCGGGCCCAAATTTGTTGTGGTGACCCCAGGGAAGGTTTATGGATGATCAAATTTGAAAGATTTTCATAGCATAACAAAATAAGTTTGGTGAATTTGTTTCTTGTAATTATTGATTTAAGATCTGATTCAACGAATAACGAAAGAAGTTAAACTATGGTACATGGTATGGCTAGTTCAATTACAAGGGGTTGATACATTGTAAAGTTTAATGCATTATAGCAGCATCATTATTGTATTCAATTATCATAAATTATGCCGATCATTGTGTGTTCTATCTAGAAAATGGTGTTTAAACAATATATAAATGAGGCTACATATCAGCAAAAATAGGAATAAGTTGACTGAAAAAAAAACAATAAACTGAATAACAGAAACTTAAAACAGTCTGGTATTCCATCCCCCCTCCCACCTATTATTTACCCCCCTCCAGGGTAGAAAGCAGCTTTCCCCGCACTCTGTTCTGAGGTTAAGCTGACCCTGCAGCAGGTCTATTATTCTCCAGTGTAGTCCTAGCACCTCATGTATTAAAGGGACAGATCGCAATTAACCATTTTAATTAAAGGGAAACTTTGCAATTACTTGTGAAAACATATTTTTGTCGTTGTATAAAGTTAAATTTGATTTTTGTTGAAAATATCTTCATATGCATATCTAACCCCCCATTTCCCCTTATTCTTCTCGCGATTAACCCTCTTTAACCCTAACTGTTCTTGCAAGCAAGCAAAATTATATATCTGAAGTCAAACTAGTTTTTAGAAAGATAACAAGGATTACAAGAATAAATGATGCTATGAAAAAATCATAAATCGAATGGTACTTCTTTTGTTTCTATATTATTATTTTTTTAAATTTGTAAATTGTAATATTTTTTTCATTTTTGAGGTTTGCTTAAGGTTGTCACATATTACTATCCAAATTATAGGATAGAACAAAATTAGCACTTTTTGGTTTATAAGTTAAATAAAAATACTATTAAAATTTGTTTTTCGATACCCTTAAGAATGTTTTTCTATATTAGCAAAATATCAAAATAGAAAAAAACTGTAAATTTGTAATACATATATAATTTTACAGTTTTTGAGCAAAAATATAATCTTTTTTTTTCAAATTATCAATTTGAATTGTTGCTTCAATTTAGACGTCTAAATCGTTATAAAATAGATTACAAATGAACTCTCTCTTTTTAAAACAAATCATTTTGACCGTAATTTAGACTTGAAAAGTGTAAAGATTAGAAATTGCTGAAATATCTTAAATTTATTTTGCTTTCTCTAGCCACGTCTAGAAGTCCTTGAACGTAATACTTATACAATTGGACAATAAAGGTTTTATATTTACAAAAGAAATCGAGTCTTTGCCACAAACTCTGATTTTTTAATCCATATATTTTTGCAACTCAATATCGTAGACCTTAAATGTTTAAAACAATGTATTCTGTTAGCTAAAATAATCTAAGTTTTGAAATAGAGGAGATAAAAGTCACAAATTCGCACGAGTAATGTCGCACAAATTAGTCTTGGTTATTGCTAAAACGTAATTTTAAAGCATTTTTGGGAAAAGGTAGTTATAGGGTGGTAAAGGCAAACTTAATTACAAGACAATCTACGTCCGAGGGACAAATCAAGGAAGGGAAAACTCTAAAAAAGCCCAGTTTTTTCAAAGTTGTAAAATTTTTCAGATATAAAAAAATGAAGAACGCCCCTGTTTCTATTCCAGGTAAAAATTCAATAATAAAAGATTTATTTTCAAAAAGTATAACATCTAGCATACGTACAGTCCATTTGATGCACTGAGAAAAATCTGAGCTAAATTTTTTTTCTAAACTGAGTTCATTTGTAGGTTTTACTACGACGATTATAATTAAAATCAAAATTAAGAATAAATGTTGTTTTTTTTTTCGTTGAAATAATTGATTTCAATTCTTCTTATGCTAGCTTTAATTGATCGAAGATGACGAATTTTTCGTTTTATTTTCTCTGCAGAAATAGGACGAAAATTTACGTGAAAAATCAAATTAATTCGACACAACCTTTTTGAAATTTAAAGAATTAAAATTTTTCTTATTTTGAGGGCGTGCCCCTGATGAGAATGTACAACTAGTGGATAGCGAGGGAGAAAGATCCTTTAAAATAGGAAACTATGCCGGCAGGTCAGCTGTTCAATAAAATCTAAGATCTGGAATGAAAATAAATCTATCTATCTATATTTGGCTCACTGTTGGTATGATAGGCCTTGGTGTTTTATCCAAGTAACGTCACATTATCCTAGCAAAGTTTGCGTTTACAATGGTTTTTAAAACATATTTGGATTTCCATCAAAAATACGCAAACTATATAGTTGTATAATGTACGCAATACTAATTAGTTTTATAATGTACGCAATACAACAAGTGGTTTGAGTTCTATAAATAAGGACAACGAAGTGAAATTTAGATAATTTTTGTAAATTTCAAATATTTAAGATGACCTTTTTACAGCTTTTTGTCAGGGTCAGTGAAAATCCTGAGATGTTTATTGTTTATTTATTTATAAAGAACATTTTTTAAAGAACATATTTATTATAAGAATAAACCGAAGGATTTCATTCCCATTTGATATGCAATCAAATATAGAAAATCTAAATAAAATTCTTTATTTTAAATTAAATTCAAAATAATTTTAAATTATAATCTCTTTTTTACAATTTACAACATATTTACACTGACAAAAGATATCAACCATAACAGCATAATCATTTTTTTTTGCATTGGGCTTATGATTACAGTGTGAGTTTTTGGTACTCCAATGGCCCCAAAAAAATTGCATCACCCATGTACTGTATAGTTTCAGCTATCTGCCTATCTAAAAAGAGTTCAGATATCGTCACTTTAAAAGGGTAAGGAGATGATTGATCTACACTTAATTCCCAGGTTTAATGGGACACCTTGCACATTCTTTTTTTTTAATTCGCAAAATTGTTATAAAAAATTTCGCAATTTTCAGTTGTTTTTCAATGGCTCCTCAGTTTTCAACTGAACAGCGTATATGTATAATCTTAAAATATACTAAAAATAAAGGAACTAGAAGGTTCAAAGAACTTCTCCTTAAAAAAATGAAAATTGCGAATTTTTTTATTACAAGTTTGCAAATTTTCTGTGATTATATTATTCAATCTTTATAAAATTCTAGAACATGATAGATACAATATATATACATATTTACGCCTATCTGAATTTTTGATTTTGAGAAAAAAAAGTTCCGCGGATTTTTGTTTTGACCATTGGAGTACCAAAGCAAAAAAATCAAAGCACATTGAAAAAATGCCACTCAGCCACAGGAGAGCCGCTGCAAAAAAGTACAATTTTAAATAAGACGCCGCTAATCGCACTTTTTTTGACTCACCCTGTATATCCATAATCAAAATATGAGACTTAGAATTTTATTTTGAAATGTAACAGACATAGATACCTTTTGTGGAGCCTCCAAAAAAATTCTTTAGGCTATAGCCAGATCCTGAGGTAAAAAAATAATCAGCTCAGTCCTAGTTATGAAGCTACACAGATCCATAAAATGATTCATAATTTAAAATTATCTGTATTATTATGAAATCATTTTATAATTTTCTTTAGATATGTTGTGCTTGTGTTTTACTCAGGAGATTGGGAGTGCAGGGATAATATTCAAGCTTTTCAGAATATTCTAGACAAGTAGGACAATTATATAATATTCTAGACAAGTAGGACATTAATATAATATTCTGGACATGTAGGACATTAACATAATATTCTAGACAAGTAGGAAATTTATATAATATTCTGGACAAGTAGGACATTTATATAATATTCTGGACAAGTAGGACATTGACATAATATTCTAGACAAGTAGGACAATTATACGATATTCTAGACAAGTAGGACATTTATATAATATTCTAGACAAGTAGGACATTTATATAATATTCTAGACAAGTAGGACAATTATATAATTTTCAGGACAAGTAGGACAATTATAAAATATTCTAAACAAGTAGGACATTTACATTCTATTCAAGATAAAAAACAAATATAAAATATTCTAGACAAGTTGGACATTTATATGATATTCTAGACAAGTAGGACAAATATAAAACATTCTAGACAAGTAGGACATTTATATAATATTCTGGACAAGTAGGACATTTATATAATATCCTAGACAAGTAGGACATTTATATAACATTCTAGACAAGTAGGAAATTTATAAAATATTCTGGACAAGTAGGACATTTATACAATATTCTAGACAAGTATGACATAATATTCAGCTTGTAATTGAATCTTATCTAATTCTTGTAAGTGATATTTCCAATAAAATATACACTTCACAAGTTCATATAATAATACAGTTACACATTTCAAAATCTTAAGCGACATTACATAACAAAATATAAAGTGAGGTGACATTCATTCCACTGTTTTGTGGTTACTACTGTATGCTAACTTATATATATATTTAAATCAAGTACAAAGCCACTGTTGTGTGGTTACTACTGTATGCTAACTTATATATATTTAAATCAAGGTATAAAGCTTCTGGTTGCGAGGTTACTACTGTATGCTAACTTACATATATTTAAATCAAGGTATAAAGCTTCTGGTTGCGAGGTTACTACTGTATGCTAACTTATATATATTTATAAATCAAGGTATAAAGCTTCTGGTTGCGAGGTTACTACTGTATGCTAACTTATATATATTTATAAATCAAGGTATAAAGCTTCTGGTTGCGAGGTTACTACTGTATGCTAACTTATATATATTTATAAATCAAGGTATAAAGCTTCTGGTTGCGAGGTTTTTGCTTGCTCCTCTGATTCTACTAAAGTTCATCAGAGCTGGATTCGAACCCCCAGGTTTCTGTTAATATTTTTTAATGATAGTATTCCAAATGTTCTATTCTTTAAAGGGAGTGACCGGCTAGGTAAGGTAGTTGAACTAAGTATGCAGTGTTGCGGAAAGCTTCTTTCGGATTTATTTGAGACATATTAAACTTTTTAAAAATCTGTAAATTCTGAGTTTGAGCGCAAATTTGACGTTAAAAACTCCTTCTTTGGGGGTGGATACGTTCTCAGAATTAGTTTTTTTTTTTATTTTTAAATAACGACGACATAAAATGTAAAAAAAGTTCTACAATAAACAACAGACGTAATGTATACATATTGAAAAAATAAAAATTAATCTTATCATCGAAAATGAGTAATCTTGTTTAATTATTAGTTTCTATTATCTCTTTATTCTAAGATGGAATTTAAAGAATTTGAGCCGCGGTTTAAATCCGCCAAAATCCGCGAAAACCCCGGTTTAAATTTAGCGCCGGCTTAAATCTTGAAACATTTGATACAATTTTAAGTTGAACCAACCATATTTAAACCGCGGCTTAAAATTAAACCGCCGCTCAAATTCTTTAAATTCGGCCACTGGTTTCTCATTATTCACAAAGATTTTTGCAGATTTTCTAGAATTATTATTGAAAAGACGACATTTGAAGAATTTGAAGAAATCTGCGAATAAATTCAAAGAAAACTAGAAATTCAACATAATAATGAAAACTAAATAATCGAGTTTAGCATTGATTTTGACAAATTTCTTTTGAGAAATATGTTCCTAACCATCCAATTAGATTAAAAAAACTAATGCTTAAAATGTATCCATCCACCCCCAGAGTAGGAGTTTTGAACGTCGAATTTGCACCCAAACTCAGGATTTACAGATCTTTAAAAAGTTTAATATGTCTCAAATGAATCCGAAAGAAGTTTTCCACAACACTGCATACTCAGTTCAACTACCTTACATAGCCGGTCACTCCCTTTAAAGAATAGAACATTTGGAATACTATCCAAATATTCTGTTTTCAAAACGAAATTCTGTTTCTGGGTGCTGTATTTGTTTGTTTCTTTCCAACAAACGTCGACTCAGATCAGAATATTCTCTAAAAGTTAAACTTTAAAAACTTTATAACACGGACAAAAAGTAATAAAAATCCTATTTTAAAATTATTTTAAATTAATGAACCTAGGGGCCATGCATTTGTAAGAGGGTAAAGATATCGGACCGTTTTTAACCCTATCCCCGCTGGGGTACTTGAAAACCAGTATACGCTGGGGGGGGGTCAATTTGACCCCCCCCTCTAAATCCCATGTTTTATGTCCAAATATGACAAATGATACATCATTAGAAAGCTCTTGTGCTCTACTTTTAGAATCTGCAAAAAAATTTGCAAATTTGCGAAAATTGAATTTTGAGTTATGTAAAAAAAACTACAGGGGGGGGTCAAATTGACCCCCCCCCAGCGGGAATAGGGTTAAATCATACCTGTCAAACTTATAGACAATTTCATGAACATATATACATACTACATGTATGCTAAAATTTCTTTTAATTCTATAAATACATATTCAAAAATATTCTATTCTGTTTTCTTCTGACAAAATTCAATCTTATTCTGGGAAATTTACAATGTCAAAAAGGAAATGAAATTTGTCACTTTGTTAAATTATTCAACAAATAGTTTTCTTGAGAATGTCAAGAATAAACATAATTTAAATCTTTTAACGGGGTTCAAAGAACTTTCAAAGAACATATAATAGTCTTTGTAAGGAAAAGGAATTGAGTCTAAGCCACAAACTCTGATATCTAATCCCTATTTTTTGCAACCCAAAGATAATTCAAACTATGCATTTTGTTAGATTAAATGAAGATAAGTTTTAGTTCGAGGTAAAGACTCAATCCCCTTCAAACTGGATTGCTTTAGTTTATGTTTTGATATTGTATCACTCTGATTTAACAATTCGGTCCTTTTCCCAGCAAGCTTCGGCATTCGTTTACAATTTAATATTTTTTGTTGGTGGAGGCGTTTTCAACATCAAGGTATTAGAAATAGAAGGGGCGTTGCAATGAAAAAAGCTGTTTTTTAAATGAACTCTGTATAAATCATCCCTGATGGTTATATTATTTAAAATCAAAACTATCATCGTTAAGAACCATCTTTTATAAAGATATAGTATACTAAGTGGCACAATGCCCTCGAGGCCTTTCAGTTATATAAAGCCGGATAAAATCAACTTTACGAAACTATTACTAAATTGAAATTCATTTAAAGAATATTTCAGGTTTGGAAGAAAATTTGATTTTAAAATGAACTTAAAAATTGGTTTTCATAGAAGTAGAAACAAATAACAGTGCAACCTTTAAAAAAATTATTATAAAGCTAGATTTTACTTCAAAATGTTCATTTAATAAGATTTTAAAAATTCATAATTTTACTATACAGAATTCAATACCCCATACCCTGTGTACTCAATGACACCAAGTGAACTAGAAGGGTCAACTGTATACACTTTACAATCAACCAGGACAGGATCTAGATAACAGTGTCCGCCCCTGGTATTTAATGAAAACATAAAACAAGACAATTCGCATCTAGTAAGAATCATTGTTGAATTATAATTGAAATTTTAATAGACTTAAACGAGATTGAATTAAAATTGGAAAATTTTAACGCATCTCACCCATGGTTAAGTGGAAAGTCCAGGCCCCAGACGCCCCCGGGAGTTTTAGAACGTTAAAAACTGACAAAAACTATTTGTTTGTTTTTTATCAGGTGGACTAAATGGAAAATATTTTGATAATGAATCTACAAAATAAAAAATGTATAAACTCTTTTTCTAGTTCTGATGGAGGGTTTGGAGGCTCTATTAGAATTCCACTGATTTCTGATCCTGCAGGTGAAATATCAGCTCAAGTGACCGGCGTTTCCCGTGAAAAAAGAAAATATCGAATTTTGTAAAAAAAAATTCGATTTGCGACCCACAAGTACCTGGGCGGCGGTGGGATTCTCGAAATACAGTCGTTTGATCAACATATAAATATATATAGATTTATATATATATATATATATATGAGCGAAGAGCTTTATCATATTATTAACCAAAGGGATTTTTTAAGGAAATCTCCTGTTAAAGATTCATAATCACAGTCCCCTTAACACCTTTGTCTGAGTCACAATAAGGAAGATGTCATCTTTTCTTTCTTAAAACGGGTCGATTATTATAAAATTTTTGGCTAAACAACTTGAGATATCTAATTTATCATAGATCAGTTTAAGGTTTAAAGGGTACCGTTGTGAATCAAGCATGTCACTCTTTAAGTGGAAGATCCTTTAAAATGACTTCCTCGTCCCATGTAAAGTACAATTTTCGATTTCCCTAACAAATAATTTCACACCTTTGTTCGTCTTTGAGATAGAAATGCGCAAATTTGTTCGCAAAAACTTCGCAGAGCGGGTTGGTAATATTGGTCAAAAGGCGGTAAAATTAATATCTAACTGTACTTATTGCAAAACAATGGAAAAAGATCAACTTTAGAAAATGTAAAAATATATTATATAGTATATAGATAAATTTCATTTGTATTTATTACCTTTATTTTTATTTAAATTTCAACTTTTCCATTGAAACCATTTTCGTCTCCGTATAGTTTGAAATATGTTGAATGATAAACTATGGAATGACATAAAACTGTCAACGGGGGGAAATATATCAAGCAAAAATATTCACCTTTTAAAAGTTTTATTTTCATCCCAAACTATTTTTTTTCTTATCTCAGAAAACATTTTGATCATATTTAAACACTAACATTTTCAATTAACAAAAAATTTAGTTATGGAAGTCACTTTTAATTTTACTAATCCTGTTAAATATCACAAATGTATTTCACTCAATAATTATTTTTTTTAAAACAAATGTAACCGAAACTCCCAATATATATTTTTTTACAAGGAAAGTGTACGGCAAATCCTTGAAGGAATGTAGACAAGAACAAGCGTGGTTCAGTTTATGCATACTTATTTGAAAACAAAGATCCTTGTGTATATTTATTAAATATAGGACTAATGTCTACAATGTATCTAGGAATTATGTTTACTAAGTATGACATCTCTATAAATGTAACAATCTAGGAACGATGTTCACTAAGCATGAAATCTCTAGGAATATGTCTACCAAGTATGTTGTGTCTCTCAATGTAACAATCTAGGAACGATGTCTACAAAGTATGACATCTCTCTAAATATAACAATCTAGGAACGATGTCTACTAAGTATGACATCTCTCCAAGTGTTACAATCTAGGAACGATGTCTACTAAGTATGGCATCTCTCTAAATATAACAATCTAGGAATGATGTCTACCAAGTATGACATCTCTCTAAATGTAACACTCTCGGAACGATGTTTACTAAGTATGACATCTCTCCAAGTGTTACAATCTAGGAACGATGTCTACTAAGTATGACATCTCTCTAAATATAACAATCTAGGAACGATGTCTACTAAGTATGACGTGTATGATCAAGAAGAAGGAGTTTGTAGGAACGCTGTTGTGATCATTGGTAAGAAATTCAACATTTTTAAAAAGTATAATTTTAAATATAAAAATTTATAAGTTTCAAGGATAGACTGTCCTGTAACTAAAGTGATTATTTTTTCTATGCACTGTTTGTTATTATATGAGAAATGAAAATACGAGGTAGCGTCAAAACTGTCAACCCCCCCCCCCTCCTACCAATTAAAAATCTTACTTTAAACTTTCCAACTAAATGAGCCTTGCTATTGGCTACAAATTAAAATTTTCTAATCCTTATATCTTATCAACCTGATGGTTTTAACCTTATATATCCTGTATCTAGATAGATAAGATAAGATAACGTTTATTGCTAAAATAAATGTATCTGTANTGGACCAATGAATTATATTTAAAGATGATGGAGGTATAGTTAGCATGCTGTAACTACTAGTATGGATCAATAAATTATATTTAAAGATGATGGAGGTATAGTAAGCATGCTGTAACTACTAGTATGGACCAATGAATTATATTTAAAGATGATGGAGGTATAGTTAGCATGCTGTAACTACTAGTATGGACCAATGAATTATATTTAAAGATGATGGAGGTATAGTAAGGCATGCTGTAACTACAAGTATGGATCAATGAATTATATTTAAAGATGATGGAGGTATAGTAAGGCATGCTGTAACTACTAGTATGGATCACAATGAGACTGCTAGAAACTGTTTGGATATTATTGCTCTACTTAAACAGCACAAGGTCTTGTATATAATTTCATTTAAATAACAGACAATGTAATTTCAAACTTTACATTTCAAATTCACATCGATACCAAATAGCTCTTTATTGGACAATGAGGAGAGAACGTTATTTCATATTTCTGTTGTAAAAATTGTAAATTCTATTACTTTCTTTCTCTTTTCCTTTTTGCATAAATCCGTCAACCATAATTTTTAAAAATCGATTTCCAGACAGAAAAAAACAGATAATTTTTGCTTCGAAAAAGTGTGAAAGGATTCCCCAAGACATGTAACTTTTTAAATAACGGTCAGTTGAAATTAGGCCGACAGAAACCTTTCATGTTTAAGATGAATGAGAATTCATCTTTATAGACTTTTTTTATAATAATTTTAATAAGTTTTGCTAAATGATAAATTATGTTTTTTTATTTCATGAAAGTATCTGTTTAGTTGTCTGATGAGGAAGTGAGGAATATAAATGCTAAAGCCAAATCCACCAAAACCGGCAGCAAAGGAAGAGAGGTAAATTTTCCAGTCCTATATATTTAGAATATTATGGGAGACTTCTCATTGGAGACCCCCAGATATGTTTAGTGGAGACCTCTAGCTTTTCATTGGTAACCTCATGTTTAGTAGAAACTCAAAGCTTTCCTTCGGAGACCCCCAAATTTTCATTTGAGTTTCCAAAGTTTTTCTCCAAGACCCCCAGATTTTCATTGGAGACCTCAAGCTTTTCATCAAAGACACTCATGTGTATTTTTTGGAGACCCAACATTTTCTCAGGAGACCCAACATTTCCTCTTGAGACCCAACATTTCCTCTTGAGACCCAACATTTTCTCTTGAGACCCAACATTTTCTCAGGAAACCCCTACTTTTCTCTTGAGACCCAACATTTTCTTAGGAGACCCAACATTTTCTCTTGAGACCCAACATTTTCTCAGGAGATCCCTACTTTTCTCTTGAGACCCAACATTTTCTCTTGAGACCCAACATTTTCTCAGGAGACCCAACATTTTCTCAGGAGACCCCTACTTTTCTCTGGAGACCCAACATTTTCTCAGGAGACCCAACATTTTCTCTTGAGACGACCCACCATTTTCTCTGGAGACCCCTAATTTTCACTGAGAAATGAAAATATTGTGGTCTCCGATGATTTCTCCGAAGACTAGCAATTTCTCCAATCCAATCTATAAATGATTTTCTTGAAAATCTTATTTAACTTTTGAAACAAAATGAAATTTGATTTATTTGTTGTAAATAACAATTTCATCTTCAGAACATTTGGTCAAATAGAATTTCTGGGAAACTATTGAATCATTTAGAAATATTTTCCTCTTCATCCCAGGGCATCATTCAATGCAATAACAAAGAGCAAAGATTTTTACAATTTTACACTATTTTTAATATAAAATGGTTCCCAATTGAGTTATTTTAAAAACAGATAATTATTCTGGTTCATAATTACATAGCCTCTCATTTTCCTATTGAGCAAGACAGCTATAGGTCTGATTAATTTTGGTTAAAATGATAGCATCCTGAAGATAAACCAACATGGCATTATTTTGGGAAAAACAGGATTTTTCTGATTGATTCCTGACTTGCTGAAAGTAGTTTCATAAGAATTTGCAATATCCTTTAAAGTGAAAATCACAGTTTTACAGAAATATGTAGATATAAAGGGATTCTTTGCGAAAAATAAATGGAGTTTGGCTGAATCCTAATCAAATTGAGATTTGCTCGCTGCTAATTTTATTCAATATCCAATAGCATAGAGCTCATGTAAATTCAATAACTTACTTAATTCAAACACTCCCTTTAATATTTTAAAATGGAAGAACGCTCCTTTTCTTAATTATACAAAGGTTTACAGTCCCTTTATTATTTAGAAATAGGTAAACACTCCATTTATTATTAAGAAATAGGTAAACACTCCCTTTATTATTTAGAAAAAGGTAAACACTCCCTTTATTATTTAGAAATAGGTAAACACTCCCTTTATTATTTAGAAATCTAGTGTGAGAATGGACAGGAAGGAACTAGAGAAAGCCTGGGACGTTTCAGATGATCCAGATCTTGTCAAGGTAAATACAGAGGGACCCATAAATATATGGAAGAGGAAGACGACTGTTAAATTAAAGTTGTGATTAGGTCCACTGATCATGAAACACAGGAAGAATGCAGTGTGAAGTGTACACTGTACACAGACCACATTTTACTTTTTAAGTTGATTTTCAATCTTTAAATGTCGTCCAACTATTCCACAGTTTTATAAGTCGACTGCATAATTTTTTTTTAATTCTGGGGGGGAGGGAGGGTGTTATTTTCTTTAGGTCCGTGAAATGTGTATTGTTTTCTAATAGTTTTAAAAACTAAAATCTGCTTCTGGACAGGAATGCCTAAAAGGCTCTAAAAATATTAAATCTTTTTTGCTATATTTACGCATTTTATCTTTGGTTTATACTCTAGGTCCTGAATATAGCTAGGGTTTGTTTACTCTAGGTCCTGAATATACAAGGGTTTGTGTACTCTAGGTTCTGAATAAAGCTAGGGTTTGTATACTCTAGGTCTTGGATATAGCTAGGGTTTGTATACTCTAGGTACTGAATATAACTAGGGTTAGTCTACTCTAGGTCCTGAATATAACTAGGGTTTGTATACTCTAGGTCCTGAATAAAACTAGGGCTTGTATACTCTAGGTCCTGAATAAAGCTAGGGTTTGTATACTCTAGGTCCTGAATAAAACTAGGGTTTGTATACTCTAGGTCCTGAATATAGCTAGGGTTTGTATACTCTAGGTCCTGAATATGAGTAGGTTTGTATACTCTAGGTCCTGAATATAGCTAGGGTTTGTATACTCTAGGTACTGAATATAACTAGGGTTAGTCTACTCTAGGTCAGCTAGGGTTTGTATACTCTAGGTCCTGAATATAACTAGGGTTTGTATACTCTAGGTCCTGAATATAGCTAGGGTTTGTATACTCTAGGTCCTGAGTATAGCTAGGGTTTGTATACTCTAGGTCCTTAATATAGCTAAGATGTTGGGTAAAGCTCCTCCACCCCCTGTGCTAGCTCCAAGAAAGGAACCTGGCTTTGATATTGATCAAGAGCAACTTAGAAGGTACGTTTTATTCATTGCAAATTAATTTAGGCAATGTAAAGATATTCCGTTTACCCTAAATATTATCTTGTTGTTGTAAAAAATTACAAAAAAAACTGAAATTTCTGCATAATTACATGATCTAAAATATATCTTGATAAAAGCATTTTTAACCTTTTTTTCCTGTTCAATTCCTTCCTTGATGTTTCTTGTTCTCACAATCTTCAGGGCACAGTTAATAGGACAAGACCAAAGGAATTGAGTTTTTGCCACAAACTCAAATCTTCTGATCCCAATATCTTTGCAACTTGATGGTGCAAAGCTTTTGATATTTCAAACTTAGTTTATTTTATCTATAAGTATTAATAGTTTGAAATATCTAAGGTCTACGACATTGGGTTACAAAGATATAGAGATTAGAAAATCAGGGTTTGTGGCAAAAACTCAATTCCTTTCAGAAAATACGAAAAAGATCAAGTTTAAAGTCGTTCATTCATTCTAAAGTGAAACTTATAAAACTTTAGAATAGGAAGAAAGCCTTTTTATAAATGTTATGTGCATTTGATGTTGTTAACTAAAAAATCCAAATAGTTTTACCAATAATTTGCATTATGCTGTACGTTTCATGTTCAATGGAAATAATAACTATTGCCTAACAGTCGTCATCGTATTTCACAGTTTTATGGGTCTATCTGTATCTCAATTTCTATTCTCTTCAATAGAATATAAATGAAGTTTAATCCTTTGATGGACATAAAGATGAAAGAATTTATCATATGATAAACATTCCACAGTTCTGAACAAACGTAATAGTATGCTTTTCCATCCCTCAGAGTTACAAAGTCTGTAAGTTTTCTGAAATTTTGAATTTTTTTTGTAAATTTCTGCTAGGTGTGGATTTTTGCAAATATTCAAGTTTCAGCAAATACTCGTAAGACAAGCTGATCTTAAATATTGCACATACAGGCTACAGCTCTTGTTTATTGTTTTTGTAAATTGCAAGGATTTCAAGGGGGTTTAACGAAACTTTCCATCTGCAGAAGGGCATGACTGAAAACTGATAAGATTTCTAGATTCAGCAAGTAATTCAATTGAGAAACCACAATTTAAAATCGTCTATTTTCAAGCTTCAAAACATGAATATCTTATTTATTCTTAATTTGTCTTGATCACTCCTGTATGCCAAGTCCATTAGCGCCTGATCCAATCAGGGTTTAGTCATGTGTTTGTTGTCTATTCTGAACCAATAGAAATAGTATAGCGGTATCTTTCTATCTCATTATCCAATAAGAGATATGAATCCTTCAATCGGCGCTATCAGTAAATGGAAATATTTACTTCTACTGAAACTATAGTGTGATCAAAGCGTTCAAGGGTACCAGTTTTGTGAATTGGAAATTCCACACTATAAATGGAGGACCAGTGTTAATTCGATTATGACAAAAAAACTAAAATTTCTACCAACAATAATTCATCCAGTAAAATATTTTTTCTCAGGATGATAAATCCAAGATGTTCTGGTATAAAATCCTGCCGAGCCACACTACAGAGGAATCTAGCAGGATATACAGCACCTAGTCAGTATCAAAACTACTCGATATGCAACTCCTAGTCAGTATCAAATCTACTCGATATACAGCACCTAGTCAGTATCAAAACTACTCGATAAACATCACCTAGTCAGTATAAAATCTACTCGATATACAGCCCCTAGTCAGTATCAAAACTACTCGATATACAGCACCTAGTCAGTATCAAAACAACTCGATATACATCACCTAGTCAGTATCAAAACTACTCGATATACAGCTCCTAGTCAGTATAAAATCTACTCGAAATACATCACCTAGTCAGTATCAAAACTAATCGATATACAGCACCTAGTCAGTAACTAAATTACTCGATATACAGCACCCAGTCAGTATCAAAACTACTTGATAAACATCACCTAGTCAGTATAAAATCTACTCGATATCCAGCCCCTAGTCAGTATCAAAACTACTCGATATACAGCACCTAGTCAGTATTAGAACAACTCGATATACATCACCTAGTCAGTATCATAACTACTCGATATACAGTTCTTAGTCAGTATCAAAACTACTCGATAAACAGTTCCTAGTCAGTATCAAAACTACTCGATATACATCACCTAGTCAGTATCATAACTACTCGATAAACATCACCTAGTCAGTATCATAACTACTCGATATACAGCACTTAGTCTGTATCAAAACTACTCAATATACATCATTTAGTCAGTATTAAAACTACTCAATATACATCACCTAGTCAGTATCAAAACTACTCGATATACAGCAATTAGTCATTATCTAAACTACTCGACATACATCACCTTGTCTGTAAAAGTTTGCTTTCATTATATACTAAACTTTAGATAAAATACACCATCGAATAGGTCCAATTTGACGAATTTTTTAACTTGAACATTTTTTTTAGATTTGAGCAAAAATCAGAAGCTGCAGATAGAGAACTTGGTGAAGAAAATGACCGGAGTTGCCTTTATGCCTGAGGATTTAACAGGTCAGATTTGGAGATCATCTGGCATTCGCCACCTTTTCAACACAGTTGGTGGAGTTTTTTTTAGATTAAAAGCTAAAAGGTAGTGTTATAGTCATTAGCAAAAGAAAAACTTTTAAAGAACCCACTGGTACAATTCAAATTAGCTCAAATTATATTTCAATGCAGAATAGAAATATTCTTCTCTTGTATGCACTTCAAAAAGAGGAATAACGGTTTAATTTAAAACCTGAAATAAAATTTCTTTTAATTTACTTTAATTTAACGTAAGAAATTGCTAGATTTTATTATTTAAAATAACTGCCAAAAATTAGTTTTCGTTGAATTCTTCAAGGTTTTCAATGAATAAAACTAAATTTTGGCAGCATTTTTATATTCGTTAAAATAATTTGAGGATTTTTTTCAATTCATAGAAATTTATTGAAAGATATATTGTTAAAAAATATCCCAACAAATAATATGAGATTTAATTCAACGGTGCCCGTAAAACTTGCTTCTCACAAATAAATTCTATAGATTTAATACAAAAATTTCCAGCTTAGTTTACAAAAAAATAGGGATTACAAAATTAGAGTTTGGAGCAAATAATAAGCCTTCTTTGATTAATAAGTCAATATTTATAAATATCTATTATTTAGGTGTTTACTATGGTTTATACAACATGAACCAGCGGGAACAAATTAAACTGTTTCAAGAAAACTATTTTGCAAGCTCAGGAGACATTAGGGACATATTCCTTTGCCATCTTTTAAGAGACAGCTCATTAAACAATATAATATTAATTTACACATTAAAAACCACACTCGATTAGTAATTATACAATACTTGAAAAAGCATAAAAAACTGAAGAATTAAAGGAATTGAGTTTTTGTCACAACCTAAAATCTTCTGATACCAATATCTTTGCAACCTTTGATATTTCAAACTTATGTTTTTTATCCTTAAGTATTAATAGTTTGAAATATCTAAGGTTTACGACATTGAGTTACATAGATATAGAGATTAGAAAATCAGAATTTGTGGCAAAAACTCAACTCCTTTTCATGTTTTTAGAATTACAAAAGAAACCTCAAACTTAAAAATATGAGATTAAAAACAAAGTAATGAATTGTGTTTTGACAAGGCTCAGAGAACCTGGAGCTGTAAAATGGTCGGAATCGTCAGGTACTGATAAACCGTATAAAGGCAGTGANGGGGGGGGGGGGCACAATTTGACACCCTCCCCTTTATCCTTTTTTATATTTTTATCAATTATATATGTTTACTTTAGGTGTAATTGTAAACAACTACAACACTGTTTACTTTAGGTGTATTTGTAAACAACTACAAAATTGTTTACTTTAGGTGTATTTGTATACAACTTCAACAATGTTTACTTTAGGTGTATTTGTAAACAAGTACAACAATGTTTACTTTAGGTGAATTTGTAAACAACTAAAAAACTGCTTACTTTAGGCGTATTTGTAAACAACTACAACAATGTTTACTTTAGGTGTATTTGTAAACAATTATAACACTGTTTACTTTAGGTGTTTTTGTAAACAACTACAACAATGTTTACTTTAGGTGTATTTGTATACAACTACAACAATGTTTACTTTAGGTGTTTTTGTAAACAACTACAACAATGTTTACTTTAGGTGTATTTGTAAACAACTACAACAATGTTTACTTTAGGTGAATTTGTAAACAACTAAAAAACTGTTTACTTTAGGCGTATTTGTAACAACTACAACAATGTTTACTTTAGGTGTATTTGTATACAACTACAACAATGTTTACTTTAGGTGAATTTGTAAACAACTACAAAACTGTTTACTTTAGGTGTATTTGTAAACAACTACAACACTGTTTACTTTAGGTGTATTTGTATACAACTACAACAATGTTTACTTTAGGTGAATTTGTAAACAACTACAAAACTGTTTACTTTAGGCGTATTTGTAAACAACTACAAAAACTTCCAGATCTGGGTAAACTGGCGGGATCAGCTGAGAGTTTCAAGTTTCCAAGATGGCGGAGACCTTAGGTAGTTTTATACAAGGAGAATTGAATAGAAGGAGGGGGCGATAGGGTTTCCGTACACTTTGCTGTGACGTTTTTGGACTGCTGAAGAACTAGTTTATAAATAATAAATAATAAAGATTGTAAACAATAACACAAATGATAAACAGAAATATGACATCTCTGGCGCGTTAGATGAAGATTCACCGTATACTAACTCATGTTTGTTTACATTAGATCGGCTGTCTTTGCTATTGTTGTTACGCAAAAACTAGTTCTTCAGCAGTACAAAAACGTCACACCAAAGTGTACGGAAACCCTATCGCCCCCTCCTTCTATTCAATTCTCCTTGGTTTTATAGGCTTAAAGGAACTGTACACTTTATTTTTAGAGATTCTATACTTTAAGTGAGGAATCTCTTGATCATAACAGTATCCACACAATTTTGTCGGATCATTGATCAAGGGTGCATTACTATCCATTTCTTTATTTCTTTAAGCTTCCTGTACATTTCTTCTCCAGGAACAATACACTAATTTTTAGAATTAATAACTTTTTGAGCTAAAAACACGACGATTTTTTCCCTATTTTTGCTCAAATTAATGAATTAATAATTCCGTTGTAAATCGGGCAATTCAAGGGAAGTACTGTTGGGCTGTAACCACTCGTTTAATAAAGGTTTTTTTAAACTCCTATTTATTTTATTGTTACAGATTTGAATATTACAAAAGTGCATAATTAGTCTATATTTTTTACACTTTTCAGATTTTGAAATTACGCTGAATCTTCTATAATATCGTTATATTTTAGCTCTGATTTTGTCCCCTAACAACCTACAGATATTTGTATGCCCCCCCCCCCTTTTAAACCCATTTTTGAAAAAATATACTTTAATCTACAGACTTACCCGATAAGGATGAAACTTCAGAGACGACTGTATAGAATATATTTAATAATTTTTATTTTATCTTATTTTTCTGGTTTCCTCCAGCTGTAATTTTGATTTTTTCCTGGTAAAATTAGCCAGTTCGTCCGTTTAAAGTAATTTAAGTTCAACCCCAAGGTTTACCCTCATATAGTTCTTAAAGATGTGTCTACTGTGTGCACCTCCACATTGCCAGTATAAAATCTTAAGCTATGGGAAACGTTTCTTAAATGATATCTATATTTTCTAAGGTTGTATAATAAGTTAGGTTACTCTCGATGCGCAGGCGCTCTAATGTCGTCTTCTAAGATCGATAGATAAAAACCGCATTTGACGTCATTCTGGCCTCTATAATCAGTGACGTCATATGAGGTTTTTTATCTATCTATCTTAGGAGAAAAAATTTTCCGTACATTGGAGCACATCGATATTAACCTAGCTTATTATACAACGTTGGTATTTTATCAGACTTTAACAGGATGGGACGAGCTGCCTACCGGCTTTAATTTGTTCATGCATTCTTTCAGTAAAATATACAAAAGCCAATTTTTGTAAAAATATATATATTTTCAGATCAGTGCTTCTGAGATTGAAAAGAGCGGTTGAAAGTATGGAAGAAGCACTCAAGGTTAGAATGTCGTCTTCAAAGTAACAAAAAATAGAAAGCTTTAATTTTCACAATTTAAATTTTGAGGACAAAATAAGAACTTATATGTCAATCTAAAATGTATCATTGTTTTTTTTATAGAGTACAGTAAAACCCTTAATAATGAATACATCGGAAGAATTCATCAAATGTCGTCTTGACAATTTTTCAATGAGTTTTACACTATATTACGTAAATTTCAGTATTTTCGAAAATGAATAAATAGCCATGAATATGCGGGAACAGTTTTAAAGAGTTCCATATAATCATTTAATTAAGAAACTAAATATCTGCAACATTTTAATATCAGAAAGTGAAGAATACGACATTTAATGAATTCTTTCGATGTATTCGTTACTAAGGGTTTCACTGTACTTCACAGAGTACGTTTATAGAGTACAATGCATGTGTTTGGCATCAAAAGTAATTGTTAAATGTCGTCTTAGAATAGAAATATCTTAAAAAGAATTTAAAATTTATATTTATAAAAAAATTAGTTTTTTTCCCACTAATTTAGCTATTTACAAGCCAAAATTAGAATCGAATAGTTTAAACATAATTATACATTAAACACATTATAATAATTGTACAATATATTCTAGAGTTTGACAAAGCGTGGTTTTCTGACGAAGGATGGAGGATTTGTACATTCAGAACCCGGGATTCATTCATCAGGATTTGATTTAAGGTCAAAATAATGTTCACTTGTCTTTCGCTGATTTTAATGAATTTAAGCTAAACTACAGTGATAAAACTTTGAAATAGGAAGACGACTTTTAAACTCAATTCATGACTTTAAGTATTCCAATGAGCATGGTATGCAGTGTAAACAGACCCATTTCACTAAATTAGTGCCTGTTTAAGTGTCTAACAAAGACGTTTGCTGAGTAGCAAATTTATTAGACTTAAGCATTGTTAAAAAGTCGTTTTCCTATTTCAGAGTTTTCTCTTTGTCACTGTACCTGACGGTTCAAATTTGACCCACCCATTTAAAGTTTGTATATTATTATTATTATTATTTTTATTATTATTATTTATCATCAAAATAAAACAAATTGTTTCAATTTTAGTTTTAAATTCATATTGAATAATTTGAAAAGAGCAGATTTGTTTTCAAATTTTATCTACATTTTTTTCATACGGTGGTAGACGATTGTATCAATATATTGAAGACACATTTTTAAAATTAATTTTAATTGTTAGCAGGCTTTTTCGAATTACAAGTTTACAGATAATTAAAGAGATAGCTTTTATAATTAAAAACATCTTTTTGTTTCTATGTTTTTGTGTATGGATGCTGTTTAAAAGCTTTATATAAATCGAAATTTAAATCAAAAGTCGTTTTTATTATATTGATATAATCGCAGCCTACCACTGTACTAAAATTAATATTCTGTAAATCTGAAAGTGGTCCATCCTAATTACCTTTAATGGAAACAATTAAAAAGCTTTTATCAAGAATTTTATTGGGGAAAAAAAGTAAATTATATTCGGGGAAAAAAAGTAAATTATATTCGGGGGAAAAAAGTAAATTATATTCGGGGAAAAAAGTGAATTATCTGGATGAAAAGAATAAAGTAACGTGTTTTGAAGTTAGAATAAAACAGCTGATTCTTATTCTGGCTTCTGAATAAAACAGCTGATTCTTATTCTGGCTTCTGAATAAAACAGCTGATTCTTATTCTGGCTTCTGAATAGATAAACAGCTGATTCTTATTCTAATAACTAATATCTGTTAACAGATAAAACATTTTTTCTCAAAATATTGGGAAGAAAGTCTAGAAGTGACCCCGACATTTTTAGTGACATAACTCATTTTCCATGGTACCTTATGTACATATATCTTTTAAACGAAAAATAAAGGTATACTTTTATACAGTGGGTTGCGTTTATATAAATGCAAAGAGAAGCTGTTCATCGACAGCTTCTCTTTGTTTCCATGATTATACCATTTGTATCCATGCTACATGAAAGCTTGGTAGAAATCAAAAATTAAAATAGAAAGTTGTCCTCAATGTTTTGATATTTACGATCCGAACACTGTATTTCAGAATTTATAAAAATGTCTCCTCTATATGCAGATTCTCACTTAGTAAACACAGCTATAAGCTAGAGCAATAAAGTGGTATTTCCTTAAGCTGTACTGCCTTTTAGAACTGATAATAACTTAATTGAAATTTTAAAATGAGTTTTTGTGGAAATTGTAAATTTAAAAAGATTCTAAAAAAGACATATATAAGAAATTTGAAAAGTTTAAAATTTAAAATTCTGATATTTTAGTTTCTATGTGGATTACCCTGGGTTTGCTAAGGAAGGAGACAAGGCGCTAAAGATGCTTTGCCTAAAATATGGGCTTTTAGTCAAGAAATACGGGTAGGTTTATTATCATTATTTAGATTTATTTGAGTCTTTAAAGGGACAATACGCGCGTAATTTCAAGTGTACTTCAGTTTAAAGAGTTCATCCCCGATTCACAATGGTACACTTTAAACCTTCATCTAATCAAGGATTCACAATAGCACCCTTTAAATCTTCATATAATCAAGGATTCACAATAGTACCCTTTAAACCTTCATATAATCAAGGATTCACAATACTACCCTTTAAACCTTCATATAATCAAGGATTCACAATACTACTCTTTAAACCTTCATATATTCATCTTTTCAAATGTGCCTGACAAAATTGTCGTCATTATTTTTGGAAAGTCAAATAATATTTTAATCACAAAAATGTGTGTTTATTGCAGAGTAGGATGAAAAATTAAAACTTGAAAGCAACAGTAAAAATCAAAAATTAGTTCGAGGCATATGTATTCACAGCGCCCTAATATCATTATATATAACCCTATCACGTTTGTGTTTTTTTTTAATAACTCTAAAACGGCTAACATTAGAACGCTAAAACTTTTTCACTTTTTCAACTTCACTATTAATTTTGTAAACAAATTTCGCTGAAAATTTTGCAAAAAAATCAGAAATGGTTGTAATTACTTTTTTATTTAAAAAGCTACATGGCTAAAATTTATATATTAAAAAGCCCTTTAAAAATGGATGCAATACCATGTGTCACATGTTAATATTAGTCAATAGGAAAAATATTTATTTTTGAACATTTTACCAAGCACTTTTTTAATAGGCAGGCCTTAAAAAGTTGGACTAGGAACAAATGTATCACGCTCTCCTATCTAAAATCTTAGGGGAAAATCATAGGGGGGACGTCCCCCCCCCCTCGATCTATATTAGACTAAAATGGGATAGGGTCAAAAGGGTTCAAACTTCCATGTTCATTTGCAATACAAGAAAGAAGACATGTTCTGTGTATAGTAAGGAGTATGCAGTGTGGCATCTTTGTTTTCAATTTGTTTTTAAGTTTAAATCTAGAAATTCTTTCGGTCTTTACAACTTTACAACTTTACAAGGCAATTTTGTATGTGAATTTATCTAAAGCAGAAGTTTAGAGGAAACAGAAAATAAGTTCAAAATTATTTCCTGTCTGTCTACACAGAAATTAAAAAGTATTAAACACCAGACAAAGAAGACACTAGACACTGTGTTAGCTAGCAAATATTGACTTTATAATATACAGTTATACATACAAGCAATACATATAGACACATTCAAATAAATAGAAACTTTACAGAGTAAAGTATAGACAGTAGACACGAAAAACATTAGACACAATGGAACCAATGACAAACATGGAGCATTTCACTACAAAGACACACTATGCAAAATCGTAATCTCCTAGCTCCTATAAACGATTTTACCCAGTCAACAATTGTTTTAAATGCCTTACTCCAATAATACTTTAGTCTGTATCCAGATACAGCACTCTATATTCTTTAGTCTGTGTCGTTCAGATACAACTCGCTCTAAAACTGAATTTTCTACACTAACACTTTAGTCTGTATCAATCCAGATAAAACACTCTCTGTAATCTTAGTATGTATTTTACAGATACTACTAGCTCTCGGACTCTATGCTCTCTACATGAGAAATAATACGTGTCTAAACGTAATAAAGGAAAGGTTCATGTTCAACTAATCTATATTTTGGGTTTTACAGTACATGTTCATAATGTGGACCGATAGGTTTGTTCAGAAATCAATTAACGTAGTTAGGGTACAGAACATAGATTTAAATACAAGATAAACTATTTCTGATTATGTATGAGTTATATTCCTTATAAGAAGAAAAGCAATTGTATTTGATTATAATTAGAAATTCAAAACATGTTTCTTCTTATCTCAATAGGTCTTTCATAAAGTGAGATATAAAAATACAAACAAATAAGATTTCAAACTGACGTGATAGGAATTCAGTTTTTGCCACAAAATCACAATTTCTAGTCCCTATATCTCTGCAACCTGAAAGGTTTCTTTGATCTTTCAAACTCAAACAAAAGTACAAATAAACAACACCAAAAGTATTGGAGGACTAAACCATTATCTCAAAAAGGGAACCCAAAATAAAAAATCTGTAAACTCTAGTTCTCCCACTTTCTATCTGTAAACTCCAGTGCTCCCACTTTCTATCTGTAAACTCCAGTTCTCCTACTTTCTATCTGTAAACTCCAGTTCTCCTACTTTCTATCTTTAAACTCCAGTTCTTTTACTTTCTGTCTGTAAACTTTATTTCTTCCTTCTACTTTATATCTGAAACATTTAGTTCTCCTACTTCATGTTTTATTTTTTATCATAAATTTCCTTGGGGGGGGGCAGGCCCCCTCCAAAAGCTCAGGGTTGGGACCGTGGGCCCTGACCCACCTATATTCCGCCCCTAAACATAACACTTTCTTTTTCAGACTACGGGATGGTGGTTATGAGATTGGTGTAACCCAGCGCCCTGAAGACAGTTTATGGAATATAATCAGACGCGGCTTGGCTGGTCTTGACGCGCTTGCGCAGGAGGAGGAAAATCTAAAGAAGAAATTCAATATGACGATCGAGAAAAAATAAAATTCTAAATTGTTTTATAATTTTCAACTTAATTTTGTAGAATTTAAAGAAAATATTTAATAATGATAACATTTATTTGTCAAAATATATCAAATAATATACATATATTTACAAATATTAAATACTGATTTCAAATCAAAAATAAATTCGAAAAATCAAATATTTTTTTGTTATTTGACAAGGGCTGAGCACAGAGCAAAGAAAGTTTAGGTTTTCTTGCTAAAAGGAGTGACCGGCTATGTAAGTTAGTTGAATTGAGTGTGTTGTGGAAAACTTCTTTCAGATTCAATTGAGACACATTAAACTCTTTAATGATCTGTAAATCCTGAGTTTGAGCTCAAATTCGACGTTTAAAACTCCTACTTTGGGGATGGATACGTTTTCAGAATTAGTTTTTTTAAATTATTAAATAACGACAACGAAAAATAATGTAAAAATTATACAGTAATCTAATTAGATGGCTAGGAACATACTTCGCAAAACAAATTAGTCAATAAATCAATGCTAAAATCGATTATTTCGTTTTCATTATTATATTGATTTTTTTTTTGAATTTTTTCGAAGATTTCTTCAAATTCTTTAAATGTCGTCTTTTCAATAATAATTATAGAAAATCTGCAGAAATGCTTTGTGAATAATGAGAAACCAGAATAAAGAGAAAATAGAAACTAATAATTGAACAAGATTACTTATATTCGATGATAAGATTGATTTTTATTTTCTCAACATGTTCAAATACATGACGTCTGTAGTTTATTGTAGAGCTTTTTTACATTATATGTCGCCGTTATCCAATAATTTAAAAAAACGAATTCTGAAAACGTATCCACCCCAAAGTTTGAGTTTTGTACGTCGAATTAGCGCTCAAAAATCAGGATTTACAGATCTTTTAAAAGTTTAATATGTCTCAAAGGAATCCGGAAGAAGTTTCCCACAACACTGCATTCTCAGTTCAACTATCATACATAGCCGGTCACTCCCTTTAAATTCTTTTTTTTTCGAAGCATATGGAGGAGCACCGAACATCCTGGTGCCGGGGTTTTCAGCACGATTCAACTTTTGAGAAAAACATTGCTGCATGTGTTTTTTTAATGAAAATATTCATCTTAAAAAAAGGATCATCAAATTTCACAATTCATTAATTTCAATTTTTTTTCGAAAATTTTTCAGTATTCACAATGATTTTGTATACAAGCATAAAATTATTTAACAATATTTATATACAATAAACATACATTTACATTAAACTTACAATATCTAACACAAATCAGTCTCTAGTTCTTTGTATAGTGGAAACACTAACATGCGCTTAATAACTAATTTGTGAAGAAAGTAGAAACTTTTCAGCTAAAAGGAAAATATCTCAGAAACAAAAGACTTTAAACAATTCTACAGTCGTCTCTGTAGTAGGGTTTTCAGCGAAAAGGGTAAATCGCAGAACATTTCGCATTTTTCGCATTTCGTTTGCTCGAGAAAATTGCAATTTCCTTTATTTTGCAAAATTTCGCTTTAATCTGTTTCGCGAAAAAATGCAAAAATTTTGAACAAAAAAAGAAATGCGAACATTTTTGGGGAAAAATTGTTTTTGAGCAATTAATTGATGACAACACGATTTTCGCGGAATTATTTTTTCTTGGAACTTAGCGAAAACACTTTTCGCGTTTTTTTCGCTTGATTCATTCTTGGTTCACTGGAAACCATATCTATATAATATAACAAGACATTCGTATAAATATGTTGCCTATAGCCGGCCAATCGGCTGGACCGATATTCAAAAAAAAATTAAGTTTTTTAAAATTTTCCACGGGCAACGCCAGGCCCTTCAGCTAGTTCTCTATAAGTCTTATCCTTTGTGGGTAGACAAAAAGACAAAACAAATATTTGTAAAATGATATTCCAGATTCCAGATTTATAAAAAATGTTTATGACATGAAGATTGGATGCCTGAACATACCTCATACTTTATCAGTGTTCAAATAAGTTTATCTGTTCTACATTTTTATATTTGTTATATTCTCAAAGAGAAAAAGTACTCTTCCTCAAACAAAATCTTTCATATATGGCAATGCCAGATTTACAACGGGGTTCCCTGAAAACTTAAAATTTAATAAAAATTGAATGATACTGCCGTTTTCCTGACTTAAAAAGTGTTTAATTCTGATAATTTCTCCCTTGCTTCGTTTACGTATGTGATCAAGAAATGTGCAAGTCACTTCGTCAGAAAAAAACCAAAAATGAAAATAAACAGCATAAAGAAACAAAAAAAATAGAAGTCTCCTTTAAACTTGACCAGACAAAGCTTTTAATTCTTTTTGAAATTACGCATACAGTCCCTTTAAGTTGATATTTTACATTTAATTGTTTGTACCCTTCAAATTGTCACATTTAGCTTTTCTATTTTGGGAATGAAGAAAAACTTTAAACAATATTGGGAATTGTTTTTATGAAAGCACAAGTTTTATTTTATGAAGCCCTAAGGATATATTACTTTAGGGGCCGAGGTTGGAAAAGGGGCTGGTGGGGGGGGGGGGGGCTTATCAACATTAATTAATTCCGTCTATATATTATCAATTAAAGAATCTTCTTTTTCAGTAATTTTTTAAAAATCTTCTAATTAAATTTCTAGATTGCTGGCCTTCACTTTCAAGGTTACTTTCACCCATTAAATGTATATGGCTGGGTTGTTTTCATTTTAGCTTATTTGTGTGGCCAGTTATCTTAAATATAAAGTTGTAATCTCTGCTTGTCGAGATGTCTGAGTGTATTGGGGCGCTACGACATCTGCTCTAATTCCATTTGCTCTATGACCAATTGCTCTAGTTCCATTTGATCTATTAACCATTTGCTCTATAGCTCATATAGATCTCGACGTTTGCTCTACATGTCATCTGCTCTATTCATCAATTGATCTATGACATAACACGTCATTTGTTCTATAAACATTTCAGTGACTGTGATGGACCAATTGCTCTACTCAACATTTGCTCTATGAGTAAACACGTCATTTGCTCTATAAACAAATTTTACAAATATCTAATCATATTAAAACTATATTTTTACAATTTTATATTTCACAGTTCTTCCTACAGTTTCATTATTCCGCCAACTTCCTGGAGATAGTTTTGTTTGTCTGGTATTTGTGCATATTGTGAGACCAAGCTAAATATTAACATTAACAATTCTGCCTTCTATATTCAAGACATCTGCAGTACTGATAGACACCCTGTTTGTTTAGAGTAGAATAAATATAGTTTTCACCACATATTAGGTTTTTTACCCCTCTTATTATTGAGTAGTCTCTCTGTCATGATGAACTTTGAAGAACTGATTAAAACTGCAATTTGCGAATTTTCTAAAAAAAATCCCGCATTTCATAGTCAAGTTACGCTCAGGAATTCCACTAAAAGCTATTTTATAGTGTATTTTTAGGTTACAGAGCAAATGACGTGTTTAGTCATAGAGCAAATGAGGTAAAGAGCAGATTGAATGTAGAGCAAATGACGTATAGAGTAAATGACTTGAGAGATCAAATGGAACTAGAGCAAATAGCCATAGAGGAAATGGAAATAGAGCAGATGTCGAAGCGCCTGTATTGATGTCTGTTTGTTTGTTTGTCTTATCTAAACTCAGGAACCCCTGGACCGATTTGTCTTAAATTTTTATCAGGGAACTCGGACTCCCACGGGAATGTTTTTAGTTTGGTTTAAGATTCTAAGTTGAGTGGGTCGACTTTAATAGCGAAAATTTAGTTTCCCGGTTCAATATATTAAAAAGTATACAGTAGGGGAGAGTGAATTTTAAACAATTTAGAACAATTTTTTATAAAACTTTTTGATTGGAGGTCGTCTTCGTTAGCTAACTCGCACTGCAAGTTTTGACCTTTATGTTTGTCTCTGAAATCTCTGATTTCGCAGTACACAAGCAAAATGCTTCCAATGATTACGGCGATAGTCCATTTCTATGTAAAAGAAAACAATTCTAACAGGCACTGTAAGTTTTGACCTATACTCAATTTCTTAAATATGTTCTTTCACAACAAATAAGCAATATATGTTTCCAATATTCACGGTAATTTCTTTACTGTAAAAATTATTTCTAAAAACAATCTCTTTTTTGATACTTTTTATTGGAGTTCATCTTCTTAAGCTAACTGGCACTGATATTTTTGACCTAAATTTACTCTTTCTCTGGATCTGTGTGCCATTTAGCACAAGAAGACGACCTCCAATCAAAAAGTGGCATAAGAGAAACTGTTCTTGGAATTGTTTTTAACATTAGAATTGAATATTCCAGAAATGATAGGCAGCATTATGCATGCTTATTACGAAATCACCAATCTCATAAAAGAGTACATTTAGGTAAAGAATTGGAGTGCCAGTTAGCTAACGAAGACGACCTTCAATTAAAAAATGTCAAATAAGATATTAGCCTTAGAATTGTTTTTAGCATTAGAAATGATAGTCGTAATTATAGGATGCATATTGTATGCTTATTGCGAAATCACTAATCTCAGAAAAAGAGTACATTTAGGTAAATAATTTGAGTGCAAATTAGCTAACGAAGACGACCTTCAATCAAAAAATGTCAAATAAGATATTAGCCTTAGCATTGTTTTTAACATTAGAAATGACTATAGCGGTTATGATAGGATGCATATTGTATGCTTATTGCGATATCACCAATCTCAGAAAAAGAGTACATTTAGGTAAAGAATTGGAGTGCAAATTAGCTAACGAAGACGACCTCCAATCAAAAAGTGCTATAAAAGAAATTGTTCTAAGAATTTTTTAAAGCATTAGAATTAAAGTTTAGAAGCATATAGCATGCTTATTGCGAAATAATAGAATTAAGAAAAAAGAGTATATAGGTCAAAACGTGCAGTGCCCGTGAGCTAACAAAGAAGACCCCCAATCAAATACTGTCCTGAAAGAATTTGTTCTTATAATTGTTTTTTACATACAAATGGACTATCGCTGTATTCATTGGAATCAATTTGCTTCATAAAGGTCCAAACTTGCAGTGCCAGTTAGCTAACGAAGACAACCTACAATCAAAAAGTGTCAAACAAAAATTGTTCTTAGAATTGTTTTTTACATAAGAATTGATTTTCGCCGTAATAATTTCAAGCAAATTGTTTTATTTTTGAAATTCATTCATCCTAGTGTACAGTGTCAGATACTTAAACATATCGAGATGTACACAACCGACCACCCTATTAATTGGTTAATAGGGTGGTCGGTTGTGTACATCTGAGATAAGTTTACCTCTTCGTTTCCTTTCTCTATGCAATTACTTATATTTACATCTTTTTACACTCCAAAAACAGTATACGAGCTGAAGTGTAGAAAACGCACCAAAAAACGTTCTAAAGTTCACAATGAAACAGTACAGAAAGTGTATTTTCATGCCCCCATAAATGTATAACGTTTAACCACTATCCAATTTGGAATCAGAAATGAAATTATGTACCCCCCGAATTCTCATGCTATTCAGCAAATTTTTAACGTTGATATGAATCAGTCAATGTGTGAAGATCATTTCTAATCAGTTAATGTGTGAGTATTATATGCTTATCAGCCAATGTAAACATTGTTATGAATCAGCCAATGTGTGTAGATCATTTATAATCAGCCAATGTGTGTAGATCATTTATAATCAGCCAATGTGTGTGCATGAGGATCATATGCTTATAAGCCAATTCATACATTGATATGAATCAGCTGATATGTTTGTATACTTTGATTTAAGATGGTCAATGTGTGTTGTGCACTGTGCAGATCTATACTAATCACTTTGATAGAAATCATGAAGATCTATTCTAATAAGCCTCTTTAAACATAGCTATGTAGATCATATGCTTATCAGCCAATTTGTACATTTAATTCAATCAGCTATTGTGTGTAGATTTATGCTAATCAGCCGCTTTATACAAAGCTATAATTCAGCCATTGCAAGTTGATCTATTCTATTCATCCAATTAGAATTAGATTTAGAAAACCGGCCGATGCCCACAATGGTATTAATCAGCCAATGTGTAGAATGTAGAAACCAATTCTTATCTTCGTAGACCTAAACTGATTAACCGATGTATTATACAAATCAGTCGTGTATATTTGTGATGATCAGCTTGAATTCGTTAAATCAGCTATTTCTCTGTTAATCAGCAGTAAGGCTGTGATTTAGTTTGTAGCTTGGGCTCACGCATTCACACCTAAACAAAATCAAATTATTGATTAAATAACAAAATTAAATTTCCAATTTCTTGGAATTCTGGAAAGTCTTAAAAAATATTTTCTAATCTGATAGGTAAAGGAAAAGAATACTTTAAGGATCTTAAAGGTACTGTCGCGGTTGAAATAATTTTAAGTGACCCTCCATTTAAGAAGTAGATGTCTGATTCACAACGATACCCTTGAAAGCTTTGTTTGATATTAAGAATGAAGCAGATAAATAACATCTCCTCGATATAAAATGTTTCTCAGTAAAAGTTACATTTGAAAATATTATATCTCTTCATATTATTGAGATAAATCAGGGATTAGTTCTATAAATAGAAGGTCATCATGAGCCCGCGATTTAAAAAATTCAGGAAATTACGGCTCTGGGCTAAGCTGTCATTGAGCCTTATTTACGACAATAGCTTTCGGATTCAAGCTGCATCTTATATTCCACAAAGTTAAGTTAAAAAACCGGTTTAATATTCTATTTTGTGGATTTTGATGGTAGGAATTAGCGCATTCCGGGTTTTGATGAGGACAAGACTCAACATTGAGTTTATTCTCTACTAAAACTAACCAAGGTCGGTTTTATTTTCATTAGGCCTAATTCCCCTTAATCTAGCCGAAGATCTTGCAGCTGTAAATCACGTGACACAAGCTGTCGTGAGAGTTGGGTCGAAGATCGGGTCTTAAAGTTTGGTTCAAGGAATTACGGCTCGATCCGAAGATTTTAAATCGCCGACTCTGTAATTCAACCACAATCGCAAGTCGTATAAATTAATTCCATGTTACCTTAAAAAACGAACAAATGAAAAAAAATTGCATTCTCTGAATTTTTAAAATTTTTATTCTTAAAAGGAATTAGGAAGAGATGAAAGTTAACAGACTTAAAAAATGTATGAAAGTTTTAATTAGTTTTTTTAAATATGGTTTTAATTCGCCATTCATTTTTAATTAAAGTTTAAAATTTTGGAGAAATATTTAAATTCCTTTCAGAGCTGGTTGGGAGTTTTGAAATGGAAGAATTTGTTACCAAATTTTTATTTTTAACCCCCCCCCCCCCCCCTTCCCCCTTTATTTCCTCCTTTACCGTTTTGGCGTAGTTTTCTACAGTTTAATCAGCAAATTTTATAAAGCGATGAAATTTAATTAGAACTGTGATGCGCAAGGCTTCAGCTGTTCAAATTCCGTAACTGAGGAATTTTTATTAATTTACTCTGGTGCTTACAGAAGAGTCTACCAAGCAAACAAAAAACATTGAGTTAGAATAAATCTTTACAAGGTTCAAAGATCATACGTATGAACAAAATAATATTTTACATCTGAGGTCAATGGCCTCAAATGCTTCTTAATTGGAGGGAAATAGGGGGCTTTTCGTTTTTTAGTTTATTTGAAAAGCCATAATTAAATAGATTTAAATGACGACATGTTTAGAATAAACCTATTCTGACAATATGAACTTTTAGGCCAAAATATTGTTTAAATATTTAGATCATATTTTCAAAGAATACTTCATTAAAACTTGAGCCTTATAATCATTGTACTTTTTTCTGTAACTAGCCTGGGAACCCAGCTTTGCTTGGAAACTACCTTTAAAAGCAAGCTAAGAACATTCCTTTGTTTCAACCACCATCGGCAAATAGGTTAAGGGGTTTCTGAGTTATGATCGCACTTTTACAAACAAACAGAGAGTATTATTTTACTAGCCTTAGAGGGCGCTTCGCGCCCATCTTCTAAATTAATTGTGAACATGTTCTCTTTGTGTACATCGTAAAACAAAACAAAAAATAATTCGCGGAATTTCACAAAATATTTCGTGGATTTTCAAAATTTTCAAAAATTTAATGAAGATCGAATTTTGATGGAGACAAATATTTGAAATTTTGATCATTCATAAACCTTCCCTGGGGTCCCTAGATGTCCCACAAAAAATTTGGGCCCGATCGGTTCAGCCGTTTTGACGTTTATTGGAAACTAACAAACAAACAGACACCCAATCAGACAAGCCAAATTTATATATAGATGTATAGATTGGGGGAATTATAATATAAAAGATTTCTCTCTTATGTAAAAACTTTTAAAAAAGGTTATCTAAGATTAATTAAGAAATTTCCAAAATGACATCAACTTACTCCAAACTTGCAGATTGCAGGGATAAGAATAGAGATGTCAAAATTAATTAAGTTTGGATCCTTTATGCAAAATCATCTCTATAATGCACGGGTAACTCAACCCCAGATTTTCTAATATTGAGATTATATCTTTAATCTTACAATTATATAAAACTAATTGCAGTTTCATTTTTTTTAATAACATACATAAATAAATTAATGCGTAAACCCTTTTAAATTTATGACAGAAGAATATTTTTAAATGAAATATAAATCTCATTCAATTTTTAAAATTTACAAGCCTACACTTAGCATGAAATTTACAAGAAGTCGAACGTTGAACTTTTTGTGGTTTTCCTTGTGTAAGAATTTCAATTGCAAATTAATAATTTAGATGTTAAAAAAATGCTAAAATAAAATGTGTAACACTACTAAATGTAAAAAAATCAAATTGCAAAGCCGTTAAAAGGAAACCATACTATGACAGTATTACACAAAAGTTATAGGAATCATATAAAAAATGTTACCTAGCAATTTCTTTTTTTGAAAAAACTGCTGTGAGGAAATCCGCCAGTTTTTCTATTGCAAGCACAATAATTGCAACCATCATTAGTTTCATGTTCTTCTTCATAGTTCTAGAAATAGATAAAATTATTTCTTTTTTTCTATCTTAAGATTGATTATTTTAAATGCGAGTTGCGGATTTATGGAACAGGAGAAAAAAAGGAAATATCCAGAATGCAACACTTTTTAAAACAGGAAAGGTACTCAGATCAAGGCTTTAAGGGTACTGTTTTGAATCGGATATATATACCAATTTATGAAAGTTCAGTTTAAATTACACAGCTGCAGTTTCTCTTAAAAATATAGAAATTGTGTTTAGATAATATTACCTTGTTTCTAAAATAGTATTGAAAAGAAATTCAGATATTGAAGTTCAGCTAAAAAAATATTGGCAAGACGAGATAAAAATCTGTGGACTCAACCCTTATTCTTTTAGTTTATATAATTGTAATAGATTTTGTAAATCTTAACTAAAAAAATGTTTTAATCTTAAACTTACTTTAGATACTCCTTCCTTTTATTAACTATTTCCATTTCATTGTGTTTCTTCTCAACAACTTTCAGAAAATGCTCGAACATTCTAAACAAACAAAGAAGTTCATCCTAAATAAATGCCATATTTATCGGCTAATCAAGCCTACAAAAACTTAGCATATTTAAACAATTTGTTGAATTTATAAGAAAAATATGCTTGCAGCCTATTCATTTAATTCAACTTTTTAATCATTTATAAAACTGATGTGTACTTTATCATTCTTCCTCACTTCATCTTGAATTTTATAATGAACTTGCTATAAAGTAATCATCGTGCTATAGTTAAATTAGCTGTACATTATAGCATGTGTGCTATAAAGTTTTGATTGGTTCCCAGATTTTCTCCAAAAAAATTTAGGATATTTCCAAAATATTTTTTTTCAATTGAAATTATCTTTATATTTCGACTTCTGCTATGTTTCAAAGCTTATTTAATCTAGAAATAGCCAAATTGAAATAAGACAAGTACACAAACGTTTCATAACATTATCTATAACACTATTATTTTGGCACAACGACGAAAGTTATCACCTTTTTAGATTATATTTTGTCCCTCGCTAAAGCTCGAGACAAAATTAAATCTAAAAAGGCTAGAACCTTAATTCTCGATGAAGAAAAAATTTCTGTCCAAAACTCTATAACACAACCAACAAAACAGTGTTGTAGTTGTTATCACTTACTCAAATATAATTAAAAAGTATTAATATGGGAAGTGGGTTAATTGGCCCTAGACCCTTCATCACTATAATTGCGGGCTTTTTAAAAAAGGAAATTTTTGCAAGTCTAGACTTCTTTGCAGCCTGATAGAGAAACCTTCGATATTTCAAACTCAAATTACTTGATCTAACAGAATTCACAGTTTGAAATATCTAATGTCCATAACACTGGGTTGCAAAGATATAGGAATTAAAAAATCATTAAAAGAACTTTCTATATAATATCTGCGCTCATATATATATAATATATGCTAGTTATGGTGGCCAAACGGCTGGACTGAATGGGCTGAATTTTTTTCAAATTCAGTTAGTAAATGATAAACCTTCTGTATGCGAGGACAATGTTCTCGGATGAGTTTGTGTTCTTCTGTATATGGTCGATGAGGATATGAGTCAGCTGACGCACATTATGGTGCTGAACACCACGTGTGTAATGGGAACTCGCAAACTTGAGCGCCACCTGGTTCAGAACTTGCTGAAAAGAAAACCGGTTTTATAACAATCATTCTCTAGTGAGCATCATAAATTTAGGAAATTGTTGGTCGGCAGAATTCGTTAAATTGAGATTAAAAATTTGATTTTTATTTTTTCAGGGCCTAGCTTTTTTCTGACCATTTGGTTCCCCTCCATTTACTGACCGGTACGGTGGTTTAATTTTAGCTTCAATTGAACATCTAATGACCAATGGTTGGTAATCTTGAAATCTACTTTTTGTCTTTATAAGTTGTCTTAGCTTTGCTCTTGATCGTTAGTTTCCTAATATTAATATGATGATAAAAGTTCTGTTCAATATTTTACTTGTAATTAAATATGTCACCAAATTTTAACCCTATCCTGATTAGGATATTTTGTCTAATATAGATGGGGGGGGGGTGATTCATGACCCTAGTCCAACTTTTCAAGACCAGCTCATTAAAAAAATGACATCAAACCCTATGTGTTATAGGGTGCTAGGTAGGTTTTTAAAAAGTTCGCAAAGAACGTTGGAAAAATGCTAAATATATTTCTTTTCCTTTCGACAGCTTTCAACATTTGACACATGTTTTAACATTTGTTTTTCAAGGCTTTTAAAATGTTTACATTTTAGATGTGTAGTTTAATTAATAAAAAGTTATTAAATACTTTTGATTTTTTAAAAACCCTACCCTATATACATTTTTTGTATATAGGGTAGACATAGGCAACTTAAAAAAGACTATGGCAATGTTCTCAATTGTGTCAATTACTTCACTCAAGTTTAAGAGAGTCCTCTGTGTTGTGACGTAAATTTAATTTGCGTAGTTCTTTGAGATCTCTAAAATTAATCCTGAATGTTAAAAGGTTTTAATCTATGTATTTAATCTGAAATTCCCCATCTAGAAATCAATTAGAATTTACTCTGTTATTTTAGAACAGACTAAAATAATAGAGACCAGCAGTAATTGCCCTAAATTAGTTTGAACAAATACTAATTGTTTTATAATCGGTCTGCATGTCTATGACAGGTTCATAAATAGATAAGGAAAGGGGCACAACCCTGTTTAAAGTTATGAATGGACACTGTTTAGTGAAGAAAAAAAAATAAATTAAAGAAAGTTCTGCTAAAGAACACAAAAATGTTGAATAAAAGTGGAAACCTCAACTAAGCCTAGAAACATATAGTTTATGTAATTTTAATCCATCCATTTTATCTAATAAATTAACAAACAAAATCTTGAAAAATGGTGTTAATAGTGGAAAACAAATGGTAACTTTATCGACCCACTTTCCCAGTAAATCTAACTAAAGATTAATCATTATATTACTGTATAAAATGAAAAATTTATTTTTTCATATTTTCTAGAAATTAGAAATTTTTTGCATAATTATTAAAAAAATAACATTACTTTGATTATTGAGAATTTATTTGTGGCTTACCTCTTCTTGTACTCCATTAACTAGGTGTGATATTCCCAGAATGTACTTGTGGCTTACCTCTTCTTGTATTCCATTAACTAGGTGTGATATTCCCAGAATGTACTTGTGGCTTACCTCTTCTTGCATTCCATTCACTAGGTGTGATATTCCCAGAATGTACTTGTGGCTTACCTCTTCTTGCATTCCATTAACTAGGTGTGATGTTCCCAGAATGTACTTGCGACTTACCTCTTCTTGTATTCCATTAACTAGGTGTGATATTCACAGATTGTATTTGTGGCTTCCCTCTTCTTGTATTTCATTAACTAGGTGTGATATTCCCAGAATGTACTTGTGGCTTACCCCTCATTGTACTCCATTAACTAGGTGTGATATTCCCAGAATGTATTTTTGGCTTCCCTCTTCTTGTAGTCCATTTACTAGGTGTGATATTCCCAGAATTTATTTGTTGGCTTCCCTCTTCTTGTATTCCATTAACTAGGTGTGATATTCCCAGAATGTCTTTGTGGCTTCCCTCTTCTTGTACTCCATTAACTCGGTGTGATATTCCCAGAATGTATTTGTGGCTTCCCTCTTCTTGTACTCCATTAACTAGGTGTCATATTCCCAGAATGTATTTTTGGCTTACCTCTTCTTGTATTCCATTAACTAGGTGTGATATTCCCAGAATGTATTTTTGGCTTCCCTCTTCTTGTATTCCATTAACTAGGTGTGATATTTCCAGAATGTATTTTTGGCTTCCCTCTTCTTGAATTCCATTAACTAGGTGTGATATTCCCAGATTATCCTTGTTGGCTTACCTCTTCTTGTATTCCATTAACTAGCTGTGATATTCCCAGAATGTACTTGTGGCTTACCTCTTCTTGTATTCCATTAACTAGCTGTGATATACCCAGAATGACTCCAGAAACATGCGCCTGTAAAGTGAAAGGGTAAAAGACATGAAAGATTATATTTATCGATTATAAATTTCATGCTTTTGTATCAAATATAAACCTAAATTACTGAAAACATTGACTCATTCAAAGTACCATATACCTGTAGCAAATATAGTCCCATAGTAAATTATGTTGTACATTGTCCATATAGCTAAATGTGCCCATTAGTAAATATGTAAATAATTTATTACGATTAACCCAATTAAATATGTAGATATATATAACTCCATCAAACCCATAATGTGATTCCCTAACTAAGTTATGTATATAAATGCGAAAAAATTGTAATTACGCCGTTAAGACCCAATTCTAGTATAAAATGAAGAAATATAATTAGTTGATATAGAGACTCCGCACTGTTTACTGTGAGAGAGTAATCATTCCCTGTTTTGATAAACAGGTTGAGGATCGAACCCATTGGTAGTGGTGTTAATAAGTCATGGGATTGTAGCCATGTGGATTGTGTCCTAGTTGAGACATTGATTGATTAACTGCTAGTGTCCTTCTTGACATTGATAGCTAAGGAGATCGCGCCCATTGGTAGTGGCGTTGATAAGTCACAGGATTGTAGCTGTTTGGATCATGTCCTGGTTAATACATTGCTCGATTAATTGCTGTTGTCCTTGTTGACATCGATAGAAATTGAGATTGCGCCCATTGGTAGTGGCGTTGATAAGTCATGGGATTGTAGTCGTGTGGATTGTGTCCTGGTTGAGACATTGATTGATTAATTGCTATTGTCCTTCTTGACATTGATAGCTAAGGAGATGGCGTCCATTGGTAGTGGCGTCGATAAGTCACGGGACTGTAGCTGTGTGGATCATGTCCTGGTTAAGACATTGCTCGATTAATTGCTATTGTCCTTGTTGACATTGATAGAAAATGAGATCGCGCCCATTGGTAGTGGTGTTGATAAGTCATGGTATTGTAGCCGTGTGGATTGTGTCCTGGTTGAGACATTGATCGATTAATTGCTATTGTCCTTCTTGACATTGATAGCTAAGGAGATTGCGCCCATTGGTAGTGGCGTTGATAAGTCATGGGACTGTAGCTGTGTGGATCATGTCCTGGTTTAAGACATTGCTCGATTAATTGCTATTGTCCTTGTTGACATTGATAGAAAATGAGATTGCGCCCATTGGTAGTGGCGTTGATAAGTCATGGTATTGTAGCCATGTGGATTGTGTCCTGGTTGAGACATTGATCAATTAATTGCTAATGTTCTTCTTGACATTGATAGCTAAGGAGATCGCGCCCATTGGTAGTGGTGTTGATAAGTCATGGGATTGTAGCACTGTGGATTGTGTCCTAGTTGAGACATTGATTGATTAATTGCTATTGTCCTTGTTGACATTGACAGCTAACAAGATCGCGCCCAGTCGTAGTGGCGTTGATAGTTCTCAGGATTATGGCCGTAAGTTGACATTGATAGTCTAGAGAATCTAAGTTGTAGCTGGATAGATAGGTGTTAGAGAAACTATTATGGAGTAGGGCATTTACTACATACCGATTTGCAGAGCATGCAAATTGTATAGGATTCCTACAAACTTTAGATGGGACACACAATGTGGCATATTACTTTTAGAGAATTAATGTGAAACAATTATCCCCCTGTTACACTATTGTTGTTTGCCTAAATATTAAAAAAGTGATGCCAACAAAATATGCTCTAATATTTAGGAAAATATTTTGCTCTAATATTTAGGAAAATATTTTGCTCTAATATTTAGGAAAATATTTTGCTCTAATATTTAGGAAAATATTTTGCTCTAATATTTAGGAAAGTAAATCAATTTTGTACGAAAAGTAGATAAAGATTAAAATAATCTACTAGAAATACAAATAATGAAATATTTATATTTTTCATCCTTTTTAGTATTTAGCGCTACGAATTTACATATAACAGAAAATTACCCTTTTTAAATTTTCAACTTTTATATCGTTTTCAGAAAGGGTAAGAAATTCACTATACCCCCCCCTTTTCCTTCAAATCTAACAGGGAGGGGGGGGGGGGGAGAGGCTCGGTTTCAAAAACTTCAATAACGTAAGATAAATCTGTTGTTTCTGTAAGACAATGAAATTGTCTAGGTGAAAGCATGTTCTAAAAAACTGGAAAAGAAAGAAAAAAATTTAATAACGCTTTTTGTTGAGACATTAAACTCAATGTAAAATTATTAGGCCGTAAGGATTTTCAAATTCCATTTCGTTCAATAAAATATTTACTCCAATTTTTATTAAATATAGATTATCAGAGTCATTCATTTTGATCGGAGACTGGAACTAATGGAGGTCGCTACAATACAACCGATTTAAATCCTGAATCAACACGCCGGTTAAAATCCTAGTGAAACTTTAACTTTGAATCGGTAATTCAGGATTAAAGCTTAGGTCAAACTTATCAACTTCGGTCCCGGGCCTCCAACTAATAGTAAACCTTATATATTTAAATATTTTGTCAAATATTTCCTAAGACATATTGTATTATCAAACTAAAACTTAGAATTGTCTTTGACTGTGAATTAAAGTAAAAGATGACATTAGTCAACCCATATTGATAGAATGGAATGTACAACTTGTACAACTTCATGATAGAGTGGAATGTACGTTGTACAACTTCAATGATAGAGTGGAATGTACAACGGTACAATGTACAGCTTGTACAACTTCATTGATAGAGTGGAATGTACAACAGTACAGTGTACAACTTGTACAACTTCATTGATAGAGTGGAATGTTCAGCGGTACAATGTACAACTTGTACAACTTTATTGATAGAGTGGGAATGTACAACTTGTACTACTTCATTGATAGAGTGGAATGTACAACTTGTACAACTTCTTTAATAGAGTGGAATGTACAACTTGTACAACTTCATTGATTAGTTGTGATATNTTGATAGAGTGGAATGTTCAACGGTACAATGTTCAACTTGTACAACTTTATTGATAGAGTGGAATGTACAACTTGTACATTTTCATTGATAGAGTGGAATGTACAACTTGTACAACTTCATTGATAGAGTGGGGTCAGTAACATTTTGCACAAACTTGATCCGTCCCACGGCTGTAAGAGATCTCTGTTTTTTTTGTAGTCTACTATAGAGCATCTACGATAGATGGTAGTCTCAATTTTCAACATATGAATAGTTGTTTTTTACGGGTTTTCCTGTTTCAAAGTTTATGAGTGTTTCAAGAAAATCATGGTGTAGGCGAAAAAATACACTTAATTGTATAAAAGGCCTGTCCTATAGGCAAAATGTTATACAGGCAAACTGTTATTTAGGCAAAATGTTATACAGGCGAATGTGTACTAGGCGAATGTGAACTAGGCGAAAGTGTACTAGGCAAAATGTTACTGATCCATAGAGTGGAATGTACAACAGTCTGTACAATGTACAACAGTACAATGTACAACTAGTTCAACTTCATTGATAAAGTGGAATGTACAACGGTACAACGTACAACTTGTACATCTTCATTGATAGAGTGGAATGTACAAAGGTACACTTAATAGAGTGGAATGTACAACGGTACACTAAAAATCTTTTTGTCAGATAGAGAATGAATTGTTTGCTATCCATGTTTTTTTCTATTTGATTGTATGTGTCAATTTGCCTTGCACATCAATTGGTTTAAAAATTCGAGTCGGAAAAACGACGTTATCTTTCACATTCTTGATCAGATTAAGGTTTTAAGAGAACCGTGATAACTCGGGCATTCGTGTCATTTAAAATTACGGCGACATTCCCTTTAATTCCCAGTTTATTTTAACACCTTTAGTCGTGGACTTTGTCTCATTTCAGCTTCCCCCATCCCCAGGAGGAAAGGAAAGAACTGGTTTTTGATGTCGGGATAACTTGCGAAAAATCTTAAAAAAAAAGAAACACTATATAAACCTAAATCTAGCATATCTGTGAACGCTGAATGGGTGAGCCCGCTGAACTACCTTTCGTCGGTTCAAATCCTGATTCACCGATTAGAATCCTCTTTAATCTTTAACTTTGAGGATGTAGGTAGTTCAACGCACCTACCTCAAATTTATTAAATTCGGTTAACATATAGATAGGCGATAACTTTTTTTACATTTTGAAATTCCACAGGGCAACGTCTACTAAATGAACATTTACTTAAATATCAGAAAAAAAATCTAATAAAGATTTGATATTACTTGTAAAAAGCAGTATGTTGCCAATTTCTTTTCTTTCATGATTGATTGAACTTAACAAAAACAAACTATTTTGCAGATTTTTTTCCTATGCTTTTTGATTCATTTTTAAACTAAAATAGACTTTTCTTAATCCAGAACAAGATAAAGCATCTATTGAACTCTTATGTTTTTGTGAAAAACACAAGAACAGACAGACATTCAAACAGACATCCAAACCTGATGAAAATGTCCATCCCATGTTCCGAAGTTTTTCCTCCGATAGCTGTATTCCAGGTTTCCTTTATCTAAAAATAAGATTTACAGGGTTACCTACAAAGAATTTAACTACAGTGAAAATCAGAAAACTGTGGATTATGAAGTTGAAATTTAATGACTATTTAAACTGTATTTGATGCTATTACAAAGCAAATAGATTTACTCAAAGACTTTGCTAATTATAAACCTAGATAAATTAGAATAGATTGCTCATGTCGTCTTCACCATACCGGAGGGTTTCAGTTAAAATTGAAAATGGCAATTTATCTAGGCTGTATTTTGTATTTTGACGTCATTGGTTATTTTGGTTGTTTGAGAGTCGAACGATTGACATTAAAACCTTAGTTATTTAACACAATTGTGAATGTTTTGTGCTAAAAAATAACTAGAATTAACGATATTTATTTGTATTTTAAAATCTATTTAATCATTTGTTGGATATGAGGATCGTCTGGTGAATTATAGCTGAATTTGTAATAAAGTTACGCATCACTTTTGTATTAAAAATAGCCAATAATTGTTATTGAAAATTTTCAGATGTCGTCAAATATTTTTCCTGGGGTTCTATGGAATGGAATTTTAGGCGATGAAGAACAGAGGGGACCAGAAATTTCAAATATTATAAACGTTAAATAAATTTTTTGTAAATGTCGTCTTCTGTTGAATCTTAGGCAAAGAAATAATATCGCTTAATACATCGCTTAATGTATAAATCTTACTCTTCAATTAATTTATGGGGATTTTGTTTCAAATATCCACCATTAAAGAAAAAATATCACAGAAAGTTTCGTTAAAAATGCGAATTAATGGACGACCTTTTTCTTAGAAGTCTTCTAAAGTTGATTACAATAGTTTTGAGGCATGAATTATTGGAGGATTTTAAAAAGGCGGATTAAAGAAATACATTGGTGAAAATAAAACTTGGAAATATAAAGACGAATTTTGGACTCAATTTTTGATTAAATAGTTCAATGAACATACAATTTTGCAATTGAGCAGTGAACATGGAGATTGTCTAAATTTCGTCTTCACATTTCGGAGTATTATATATACAAGTTCAATGAACAATTCTGATAAATTCAGGTTCGTCGGTGCCACTGCCAAGCAAAGTATTTATGATACTCAACTGCCAAGCCAACCAAGAATAGGAGAGTCTTCGTTTACAATGCTAGCAGATCCATAAAGAAAAAAGTTTTGACGAAGGCTCTTTAATTGGATCATAGGAATTCCATACAGAGAAATATCCAGATTTTATAATAACTATTACATTGTTAAATAAATATTATGAGGTTATATTTTTGAATAATTCATTTAATCAGGTAGAGAGAGAATTCAATCTTGAATGAAAAAGTAATGAGATAATTGATCACTGTTAAAAAGTACAAGGTTACATGCATACAAGAAACGTGACATTAATATTCTTCTTATAAACACTTAATATACTTCAAACCAAAAGTAAATGTGCTAAAGGACTGATAGATGTAATTTCAAGTTATCAACCCATTAATGGTCCTATCAACAACGGTACCATTTAAACATTTATCTGGGTAGCAATGAGGAAGATATCGTCGTTATTTCAACTGTAAAAAGTGATGAATTCTGTAAATTATGTTCATTGTCTTTCCACTATGTCACTTTTATGGACTATGGACAAATTAAATATTTCAAGATAGAAAAATTAAAGTTGTTTCCTTGTTTTGTTTTTAAATAACTATTTAATTCCTTACAATTACAAAAGACGACATTATGAAACGTCAGCATTTCTGGAGAAGACGACATCTGATACGATCTTTCAGTACCCCAGAAAATGCGTCAAATTTGCATAAAATAATAACAAAATTAAGTTCACAGATTTAATAATATTTTTTCGAGGATTTTCAAACTTTTACTAAAATCAAGCTTTGGAGTCCATTTTCTAAATTATGACGATCCTTAAAACCCCTCCCATGGGGTCATTTGAGATCCCACAAAAACATTTTTTCGGTTACAACCAAATAGACAAACAGACATAGATTTTGAAAAGAAAGAAACAAGTTTATAATTGCTATGAACCAAGAATACAGGAAAAAAACGACAAAACAAATTCTGTACAGTCGTCTCTGAAGTCTCATCATTTGATGATAACCCTGTATATATTCTTGTAAGACCAACTGAACCCAGTTAACATGTAAATTTAAAAACTAACTTGAGTATGATATTCAATAAATGTCTGGAAATTAAGTTTTTCGTAAAAAGTCAATCAACACAACCAAGCTAAAAACATTCCCGTGGGGTGGTACATACCGAGTTAACATTCCCGTGGGGTGGTATCATACCGAGTTAACATTCCCGTGGGGTGGTACATACCGAGTGAACATTCCCGTGGGGTGGTACATACCGTGTTTCCCAATTTGAGTCAAGTCAGTCAAGGGGTTTATGAGTTATCAACTTATCAGACAAACAAACAAACAAGAGAACTAAAAATTAAACAAAATAGAAGATATTGCCCACATTTAGGAATACTTACATATATTTTTAATAGCACTTCATCATTTCAAATGTATCGACGAAAGAAATAATCGGTTTGTTTCCTTGATACAATTCATTTATCTATTCATCAAAAATCCCCCCCCCCCAACACACACACACACACTTTTATAGACGTGACTATTTTTGGATGTTAAAAGATTCTTTCATTAATTACTATAGTAGTTTTTTTATTTTCAGCTTTTAAATAGTTTTTAATTAATTTTTATTTTATTATTTTCTTTTATACAGATATGACTGAATATGAAAGAACTCCAATTTGATTGAAGCCTATTCTTTATTCAAAGTCCTTTAATAGAAAATGAAACATTTTAATTTTGTAAGAGTTTCTAAAAAAACCTTTTGAACAATAAATATAAACATGTTGCACTGCAAAGGAGAAGGTTAAATTTCTGCGACATTGCTTGTACAAATTTGTGACTTCGTAACGCCTCTAATTTTGATTTTCAGGACAAATATGAGTAAAGCAAATTTATTCAGCTACATTTTAGAAATCAAATTATTAGACAATCTCAGAAGTTTTTAAATAGAGATTTATATTTTTCTAGTAAAAATGAGCTGATTACTTCATTACCTCTTTTAGAAGCCCGAAATCAAAATCAACTAGATTGGAAAATTCAAATTTAAGAAATTTATAATCTATCAGATTTCATAACTTGAAATATGTTTTAATAGGGAGTTTTTGGCTATCAATCAGTTCCATATACATTTAATAATTTGTGTATCGCGCATTTAGATATTCATGGTTAAAAAAATTTAAATCCATTTAATTCACAAAAATGATTATTTTCAAGAATTTGTTAAACCTCAATCTAGAGTCTAGACTGTTCAAATGTTCCCGCAATCGAGTTTTAAACTTGAAACTTATAAATGGACAGAATAATTTTAGCTATTTCTCTCCATCATATCACAGTGGTCCAGAGGTTCAAAATCTACACAAAAATTGCAAAAGAAGGCATGTTGTATCTAGTCTATTTAAGGTTATTTATTTTTTTGAGGGGAGGGGTTAAAATTTCAAGTCTACAGTAAAAGTTCATTTTAAATCTTTACAAAAATAGTGAATTTCAGAAGAAAAACACAACATGTTTTTTGTCTGTTCTAAGAAAGCTTAATTAATGGATTTTAAATCTTTTGTCAAAATTTTATGACAAAAAAATTCTGAGATTCAACTCTCAAAATTGCATCTATTTTATCAAATTAAATCTGTAGATCTAGTAAATTAGTTGGTTTGTAAAATCAAGGCCTGCAACACTTAAACAGCACTGAGTTTGTGTAGTTTAAAATATTACTTCTGTATGCCAAGTCCATTAGCGCATGATCCAGTCATGGTTCAAGAATCAATCATGTGTTTGTTGTCTATTCTGAACCAATATAAATAGTATGGAGGTAACATCTACTATCTATCTATCTATCTCATTATCCAATAAGAGTTATGAATCCTTCAATCAGCGCTATCAGAAAATGGAAATATTTACTTCTACTGAAACTATAGAGTGATATCAAAGGTCTAAAACATCGGGTTGCAAAGATATTAGGATTATAGTGATAACCAGAAAACTCTGAAATAGGAAGTCAACTTTTAGACTCAATTTATTAATTTATATTATATAGTCCAATGAAAAATGAGGTACAGCTATTGTAAAGATTATGCTTTGTAAGAACATCAAGAGCACTTCAGCAATACAAAAAGGTCGTCTTCATATTCTATAATTTTGTTGGAAAAGCTCATTTCCTTTGGCCCAGTTTAAACAGTTTGTTTTTATCAAACATGCAATTTTTTTATCCTATAGGTGAAAATACTAGGCAAAAAATTAAACAAAAAACTATTGTTTTAAAACCCAAAATTTGCATGTTTGGTTAAAAAATGTCAACAGAAGAAAGTTTTAAATGTTGGAACCTTCTCATATTGTCGTGAAACCTTTTAAAAGTCTAAAACATTACAAGTTTCTGTAAAACGAATATGGCTGTTGCCAATCCTTAATTTCGCCGTTAATTGCAACGCGGACGATGTGACAGAAAAATTATTTACATCAACATACAACGTATTACAATATGGTTTTTCTTTTATTCTTATCAAAAGCAGATAATTGAGAGTTAATTTGGACAACATTATTGGAAATTGTTTATTTCTAATATATATCAATCATTGAATAATTGTTTTACTTATACTGTACGAAGTGGAATAGATTTGAAATAGAATATAAAAAGAAATCTACATTTTTCAGCCGGAAGAGACAGAGATAATTTATAAAGGGTTGAGCATTTAAAACTTTCATTTTCTTATTCCTAAATATTTACGGTTAACTGGTCTTATTTCAAAATTTAACTATTTAATCTTGCAGAATTAGGAGTTTGAAATATGACGGGTCTACAAAGATTAGAAAATAAAAGTTTGTGTCGAGTTATCAGTTCTTTTCTTTCCAACAATATCTTTCATAAATAATTTCAGTGGATAAAAAAACAGCTAAGACCTAAAATAAATAAAAAATGGAAAACTTACGCTGACTATTTCTTCATCCGTAAGATAGGCATTGTTGTAGATGATTTCTTCCAGAGACATTTCTTTTCTTTTCTGAATAAACAATATTAAAGGGAGTGTTTTCTAAACAATATTAAAGGGAGTGTTTTCTAAACAAGATTAAATGAAGTGTCTTCTAAACAATATTAAAGGAAGTGTTTTCTAAACAAGATTAAATGAAGTGTTTTCTAAACAATATTAAAGGGAGTGTTTTCTAAACAAGATTAAATGAAGTGTTTTCTAAACAGTATTAAAGGGAGTGTTTTCTAATCAATATTAAAGGGAGTGTTTTCTAAACAATATTAAAGGGAGTGTTTTCTAAACAAGATTAACGCGAGTCTTTATGCAATATCATTCACAGTTGACAATATTGCCCTTTAAACACACAGATATAGCTAGATATCAAAATTTAATTATTTCTCTTAACTTTAACAATTTTCGCTAGCTAACAAAATACCAAAGAAATTTACAATAGTGAAAAATATAGCCGAAAGAAATCAAAAATCTGGTTTCTAGTCCTTATATCTTTGCAATCCAATGTTGTAAAACATGACTTTTGTTGGATTAAATAATCCAAGTTTAAAATATCAAAGGTTTACACTATCTTTGCAAAGATATAGGGATTTAAAAAAATTTAGTTTGTGGTATAGACTTAATTCCTTTGTTTTATTTGTTAAATCAATCAATAGGTTTAAAAATGACTAAAATGTAAGATTTTAAAAAAATGCTTTAAATCGTGTCTTAATTAAAAAAGAAGATATCTCACTTGAATTAATTTGGATCTCTTTTTAATTTATCAAAAAAAACTTTAATAGCAATTATTTTCACAGATATCTAACAATAAGCGCCAAAAAGATATGCACATGCACATGAACTTGCTTGTTTTATATTTTATAAGTTGCATGCCAAATAAGCGTAATTTATTTTTTTAAGGAGAGCCGCTGAAAAATTGCAAGTTTCCTTGGATTTAAATGATTTAGAGTAGAGTGTAGACCACATTCCATGGATATCTGCTAAATTTTCAAAGAAATATAGAAATTCCTATCAAACAGGATAATTTTGAAATGTTTATAGGACAGGATAATTTTGAAATGTTTATAGGAAGGGATAATCTTAAAATGTTTATAGGAAGGGATAATCTTGAAATGTTTAAAGGAAGGGATAATATTGAAATGTTTATAGGAAGGGATAATCTTGAAATTTTTAAGGGAAGGGATAATCTTGAAATGTTTATCGGAAGGGATAATCTTGAAATGTTTATAGGAAGGGACAATCTTGAAATGTTTATAGGAAGGGGATAATCTTGAAATTTGTATAGGAAGGGATAATCTTAAAATGTTTATAGGAAGGGATAATCTTGAAATGTTTATAGGAAGGGATAATCTTGAAATGTTTATAGGAAGGGATAATCTTGAAATTTCTATAGGAAGGGATAATCTTGAAATTTCTATAGGAAGGGATAATCTTGAAATATTTTAGGAAGAGATAATCTTGAAATTTCTATAGGAAGGAATAATCTTGAAATATTTTAGGAAGAGATAATCTTGAATTTTTATAGGAAGGGATAATGCTATAAACAGAATAGAAAATCTGGAAATTTGAAAGAAAGAGATTATCTTGAAATTTTTATAGGAAGGGATAATCTTGAAATTTTTATAGAAAGGGATAATCTTGAAATTTTTATCGGAAGGGATAATCTTGAAATGTTTATAGGGAGGGATAATCTTGAAATTTGTTTAGGAAGGGATAATCTTGAAATTTTTATAGGAAGGGATAATCTTGAAATTTTCATTGGAAGGGATAATCTTAAAATAAGCAATGGAAGGGATAATCTTAATATTTTTATAGGAAGGGATAATCTTGAAAATTGTATAGAAATGGATGATCTTTAAATTTTTTAGGAAGGGATAATCTTGATTTTTTTTTTTAAATGTGAGGTTATAATTCTAATTCTAAAACAAACATAGGTGGCACTCTTACAGAAACATTTAAAACTCTTTTGAAACATTATCAATTCTTTGCCTAAATTTTAAATAAAAGGCCTCAAGTATACTTGAGCTTAAAATGAATGGTTAAGAACAAATTTATAAAAAATGATAAAAGATATACAACTATTTTACACTTATAAATAAGAATAGAACGTTTATCTATTTTCTTATCTATTTATACACGTATCTTAGACAAAATAGAGAACAAGTAGAGATGAACATCAGTTTTTAAATGTAAAGTTTTTTTGTTACATGTTATTTTATTTCACCCTCTATTTATACATGCTTTTTTCTTGCCAAGAATGAATTAAATTTTAATGATTTTTCTGTAAAAAAACAAAGATTATTTTCAATTGGGGTTTCTTTTAAAAAGTAGCTTGATACTTCTTTGCTACAGAATAATATTTTGAAATATATCAAGGATCTCGGTTTGTTTTGAATCTTCAGTAAATAAAAACTAAATTTTTGTTTTTAAAAGTAAAAAAGCTGTTTGAAGAAAAACAAGTTAAACCATTTGTTGAAACTTACCCCCCTTACCTCAGTCTGATACAAATCCGGGCTCTTCACAATTTCTTTTAATTAAAAGTAAAATTCTTGATTAAGAGGCATTTAAAAAATTAATATAAAAAATTTAAAATTTTTAATGAAAGTTTTCAAATACAGGACTAGCATGCATATGTTCAATGGACAATGGTGCATGTTTGTCAAATATCTAAAAATTTATATTTTTTTGTAACTTTTTTTTTCGCACCTTTCTATCATTTGGAAGTACTGTGTCTTTAAGCTTAATTTCAAGTGACCTTCCATATGTAGAGTGACATAACCAGTTTATAACGATACACTTAAAACCCTTGGTTTGACAAAGGATTTCGTATACAGGGTTACCCACAAAAGATGAGACTGTAAAGAGAATTTCAAACTCTAAAAATATGAGGATTCTAAGCTTGAAATAATTGGTTCTGCCTTTAAAAAAAGTCGTTTTATGTCTTTTTTCATGATTTGGAAAATATAGAAACAAGTTTCCAGCTGTAGGGAATCATGAATATTCATCCATTCATATTTTTATTCAACTACAAATCACAAGATAATACAAATAAAAAATCACAATTTAAAAAATCTAGTTTGGACCCGCCTAACCAGAGTAGGTTGTTTTAATTGGTTGGCCCATTATAAGCGAGTAAGAATATAAGGAAACAGACAGTACAAATACCGTATAGTCGTCTCTGAAGACTTATCCTGTGTGGGTAACCATGTATATTTTTATTTAAATAGTGGGAAATTAAGTGCAAAGAAACCGACAACGCCTCAATCTTCAACTACAGGGTGTCCCACGAAACATGACAGAAGCAAGACGACTTAAAAGTCGTGGACATTGTTACCGTTCCAGTTAGACCTGAATTGGTCACACTTTGAACATGTAATGGGAAGCCAAAAATGTCAAAATCTGATCGAAATTCTTATACCTCAGGTAATATTGAAATGCCATGACTGGAGGTATTATTTTTGAAATATTATTTCTAGAATTAGTTCGAAAAATTAAAGCAGAAAAATATATCAAAAAGCATAGACGACGTTCAAGTTGTCTAGCTACTGTCATGTTACGTGGGACACCCTGTATGTACAAATGAGGATATCTTCCACATCGAAGTCTTGACAAAGTTTTAAAGGGTATCGTTGTGAATAGGAATATCTCCAATGAATTTGTCCCTTAAATTACGCGAATACAGTCCCTTTAAACTTTAATATTGAACTGGTTTATTTGCCCTAAAAGGTGCTAAAACGTATTGGAAAGTAATTGCGGAGTGCAAATCACGACACATCACAAAACAATAATTATTTCCTCATTCTTTTTTAACATTTTTTTTTGGATACTTCCAAACTATTGATAGGAAATCGTGTTGAATTCCAAGTATAAATAAACGTAATCGTTTAAAAAATTGATTTACAGAATTGATTCGAAGATTATATAATTGAGAAGAAATATTATGATAAATTTATCAGTTTTTAGCATGCATTGTTTACCTTGTGACCACAATTGAAGAGGGTTAGCATTGTTTATAGGATTTGTCAAAACTCTGCAAAGCTTTATCTATTTTACTATATACCAAAATAGTTTGATTACGCCTCGTATTTTAAATTTATTCAATTCAAAAAGAGAAATAATAAAGATAGATAATGAAAATTTTCTTTTAAGTCTTTTCTAGTCTACACCAGGTTTCTATGATTGCTAAGCCAAAAATGTGTGAGCTGTTCCCGACGCTTATCATTGACGAAGATACGTCGTTAAAAAAGGGTCATTAACGATCTTTAACGATTGTCTAAAATCAAAAATTACGAGGCTTCGACAAGAAAACGATGAATTAAAAAAACTGTTTTTTTTATTTGATTTTTTAAAATCTCATTTATTCATCATCGTATACGAAGGGGTTATATAAATTGTGCATACCCTACAAGGCGAAAAATTAGGACTTTAAGTTTTGTTTTCCAACCAATTTTCGCATGAAAATGTTAACCTTTTTTGTTACTACTGTCATTACATAGCAATATTCAAATTTATTTCTAAACCAAAACTGCACTACACAAATGATATTTAAATTATGTCAGGAATTGCTAAAGAGTAATAATCTAAAATATGAAACTATACAAAGGTTTGTATTAATGTCAGATATTTCAAGAGAGAATTGTAGCAAAGTACACATTATGCCAGAAAATTACATAAAAGTTAATTTAGTTTTATAAATATGAATTCCATATTGTAAACATTAAATTCAATCTTAATTTCTTATAAGAAATAAGTTTAATATTTTCCTGTTTTTTTGTTTGATTTAACATCGGTAGGACCAATTTTTGTCAGTATGGCGGGGTTTGAGGGGAAAACAAATTCTTCATAATTCAAAATATATTCATGTCTTGGGTCACAAAATGAATACATGTCTTGGGTCACAAAATGTATACATGTCTTGGGTCACAAAATGTATACATGTCTTGGGTCACAAAATGTATACATGTCTTGGGTCACAAATGTAGAAAGCTGGATTTTCAAATATAATTGAGTTATGTTCTTTTGTTCTTTTTTCAGTCAGTCATAAAAAGTAAAAGAAGGT